TGCCAGCCCCCTCCCCTCTGTCAACCATCAGTCTATTATCTGTATCTATGAGTCTGGTTCTATTTTGTTTGTTTCTTTATTTTTTTTCTTTAGATTCCATATATAAGTGAAATTATAGGTATTTGTCTTTCTCTATCTGACTTATTTCACAGAGCATAATACCCATGCTGTCACAAAAGATAAGATTTCATTGTATTTTTTTTTATGACCGAGTAGTATTCCATTATGCATATGCACCACAACTTTTTTATCCACTGATTATTGATGGGCACTTTGGGTTGCTTCCACATCTCGCCTATTGTAAATAATGCAGTTTACAGTTTTTTTGCATGTGAAATAATGACAGACATTTATTTAAGAAATATACTAAGTTTTTAAATGAGTAGGTCCCCCAAAGAAGATAGAACATTAGAAATGGCCTAATCTAATATACAGTATATTCATATATTCATTGATTCAATGAATATGTTTGTATTCTGCAAGTGGATGGAGGTGGAGAAAACATTAAATGCTCCTGGTACATTAGAAGCTCACAGTGTATCAGGGCAGTGATTTTTAACTGGACAGAGAAAATCTGCATGTGAGCGCTTTCACTGTTTCTGTCACCTCTTTGCTGAATGATTGAATGAAAGATGAGCTGACTTTTGGTATTTTTAAAAAATATTTTTATTGACTTTTAGAGAAGGAGGGAGAGGGAGAGAGAAAGAGAAACATCGATGTGAGAGCAGAACATCTATGATAGGCTGCCTCCTGCTCAACCCCACCTGGGATGAAGCCTGTGATCCAGCCATGTGCCCTGGCTCAGAACCGAACTAGCAACCTTTCGGTCAACAGGATGATGCCCAACCAACTGAGCCAAACCTGCCAGGGCTTGAGATTTTTTAAATCACAGGGAATGTTATTACAAGTGAAGTGAGACAATGTTTTTCTTCCAAGGAAAGAGGAGCCGCGTGAGAGCGGAGCAGAGCTCCCTCTCTGGTGTTAGCAGTGGTCTTAGTGACCCTCCCCCTGGTGTGGCTGGCAGGGGCAGTTATGTGATGCTGCTCTCCAGGTATTTTTAAAGTCAGGCCTTTCCTCATTTATTTGGCTTCCTTCCGCTGAGCTGGATTCAGTCAGGAAATATCATAAGTAGCAGTTCTTCAAACTGTTATTTTTAAACAGTTACTTTTCAACAGTTATATGAACAGAACAAGCATTACTGTTGGCAGTAATTTAAAAAAACATTAAACACCATTAAGCAAACATGTACTCACCCTTGCTTATTTCTGTGGAGTCTCCAATGGGAATAAACACCAGAGTTTGGAAGTGGCAACTCTTATGGGGCTAATCTTGGTCCTAAAGCACTTAATTTTGTAGATCTTAGTAATAATAGCTACCTTTTATTGCATCCCAGCTCTGAACCTTTACAAACATTATCTGTTATTCAGGAATTTTTCAGGCAAGGTATTTGTTATTTTTCCTATAGGCTTCTGCAGCTCAAAGAAGAGAAATTAGAAAGTTGCTAAGCTTGGCGTTCAGACCTTAGTCTTCCTCTTCCTGGGGGCACGCTGTCTCCTAGGACTCAGGATGGTCAAGGGTCATATGGGGCTCTTGGTTGTGAAAACAGCTTTTCAGATGCCTATCTGTGGTCAGTTGGTCTGAATGGCTGGTGCCTGTTGCTTTCCTCTTTCTTTTTCCTTGTAGTGAAGTGTAAGCAAGGACGGGCGTGTGTGAATTGGGTGTCTCCACATGGTCTGTGTGTGAGAGAGAGGGAGGAAGGGTGGGGGTTGATGCCATAAAACCTCCCTCATGCCAGCAACAGGGATCGCGCAGGCCACTTGCTCCAGTCAAGGCCAACTGTGACTAAAACTTCCTTGCAGCATAAAGCTTCCATGCAAATGTCAAAAAGCCCTGGCCCAGAAGACTGTCAGTTTCCTTATTCAAAACTAGATTTATTGAATTGTCAGTTATATGGCAGTAATGCTCTTGCTAATCTTAAAACGTTCGAAATGGAGATTGACAGTGCAAGAAGTGGCAGCAACTTAAATGGGCAGGTCGAATTCTTTATGATCTCTATAGGAGTTTCATACTTTTCTCTCTTCTTCTTTTTTAGATTTTTTTTTTATTGATTTCAGAGAGAAAGGGAAAGGGAGAGAGAGGTAGAAACATCAATGATGAGAGAGAGTCATTGATCGGCTGCTTCCTGCACGCCCCACACTGGGGATCGAGCCCACAACCCTGGGCACTTGTCCTGACCGGGAATCCAACCCTGACCTCCTGGTTCATAGGTTGACACTCAACCACTGAGCCACGCTGGCTAAACTCTCTCTTGTACTTTTGTCTCCTTGCACACCCCACCCCCACTTGTCCTGACCATGTCTTCCTAAGCAGTCTTCTGTGGTAAGATCCTCAAATGCTGGAGCCAATACAGAGAAGAGATAAATCACCAAAGCAAGTAATAGCAAAGAGTAAGAGTAGCACGGGCCTACGGAACAGGAGCAGGCCGGCGAAAGAACAGACGGAAAGGGAGCTGTGGAAAGTGCGCGGTGGGATAAAAGGGCTTTCAGAGCTGTGTATGGAAAAGGGAGGAGGTGGTTGTGCAGGGTGGTATAATATTAATAGAGACAGAAAGGCCTCAGTATATTAGCACGTGTTGCTTTCCATCTTCATCAGAGAATGGCCCTGCAAACTGGAAAGTGTGGAATAGTCATTACTGAGAGTGCATTAGAGCCTGAGTTCTGAGTTAGATGGGAAAACTACACAGCTCCTTCAGATGCCTAAGTCTACTTCCCAAGTCACCTGGGATTTTTACCCATGATCGCAAGGTCACATCATGTATTTTGTAAGAAATTACCAGAAAGATGGAGATGGATGAAAGTCCTAATTAAAGGGGAACATTTTTTAGAAGTTAAAGACCTGAAGTAAGATTGATGTTGGTTCTTGGCTGTAGATAAATGACCAACCAGAGGTCTTATATGTGCTTAGCAAAGACTGTGTGGTTGCCAAGAATCAACATGGACACCACTCATAAGCCTTGCCTAGGCTCATTTCCTTTAAGGACTGATTTTCTTTTAAGCTTATTTTTTTTGGAGGAGGGATATTAGATTATTTGAATCATAGATTCATAGAGTCACATTTCATGTTTGCTCATTTAGTTCAAATAATGCTACAAACCATCATTTTTGGCAAGCCTAGATTTTAGTAAAGTATTTGAGAAAATCTCTTATAGTAACGTTATGAGAGGAAGATGGAAAGTTAATTGGATGCTAGTATTAGGTTGACTCCTATATGTTAAAAGTAAGCTGAAAATTTGTTGAATAATGAATGACATGGTGTCCTCACAGGGGAATGCTCAGGTAGGCACTGCCATTGTTTTTATTTTTTACCTGAGAAAACCCAACTACCGCCCAAAAATCAACAGAAAAGGGATACTTCACTCTCAGATTTGCAAGTAAGAGAGAGCTGGGAGGGTTAGCTGATATGAAAGTAGAGAGGCTAGCCTGGCCTGTGAGGCTCAGTGGTTGAGCTTCGACTTATGAACCTATGAATCATGCAGGAGGCAGCCAATCAATGATTCTCTCTCATCATTGGTGTTTCTATCTCTCTCTACCACTCTTTTTCTCTCTGAAATCAATAAAAATATTTTCTTAAAAATAAATTAGGGAGACTAAAAATTCAAATCATTTTGTGAGTTAACAAGGCAAAGTTTGCTTGTAAACATCAACTCCTAATTGTAAGCCATACAAGATAGGGGAAATGTAATTTTGTAGAAGTTATGGGAATTTTGGAGTTTCAGTTAACCATACTCTTGTGAATAATATATCTATAAACAATCAAAGAAAAGATAAAAGAAACAAAACAACCCTAGTGTAGGAAAAATAAAACTTAAAGAATTTTAGGTGGCATTTCATGAATGTAATTATCTGCAGGTGAAATACCAGTTAGCTTCCTTTGTTGTCATTTAACCCCACATTATAAGAATACTCAGTTCTGTGTGGCATACATACTGTAAGGACATTAAAAAGTTGATGTCGTTTCCAGAACGTGTTGATCAGAGTGGGGAGGGCAATACTTGGATATCATGTCCTAGAGCCATCATGGAAGGAATTGGGAATATTTAACCAATGGAAGACTAAGGGGAGGCATGGTGGTTGCCTTCAAATCTGAAGGTATTTTTTGAACAGGATAGAAAATTTATATTTATTCCATGGGTTGGACGAGAAGCAAAGAACCAACGAAGGTGCAAGGAAACAAAGTGAGCTTACTACAAAGGAAATTAAGAAGTCAGACTGACCGATGGTGTTATGGGAGGCCTTGGGAGGAAATGACCATTACTTTTCTCCAGTGGTAGAGATCAAGTTGGACCTACTGACTTGCATTCTTTCAGGGCCACTCCCAATGTTGCTGCCTCTGAAGTCTCTTTCCCTCTGCAGAACATTTCCTTTCTTATTTGTTTTAGACCTCCCAGCACCATACACAGCATCGGGCTATTGTGGGTATTAGTACGTTGTGGATGAAAACGTGGAGCTGGGCAGCGGACAGTCCTGGGCTCTCAGATAACAGCGTCCAGCAGAACTAAGAACAACCTGTTTCATTCCCTCCACTATGCTCTTTATTTATTTCTGCTCTGAGTAGCTAACTGTAGAAAAAAACTTGTTCTAAATTGTGTAAGGACAAAAGATATTTCGCTGTTTATACCCAGAAAAGCATTTTTTCCCCCTGTAATTTGAAGTTTTAATCATAGATACCGCTGACATTGAGGCAAAATAGCTTGGTTCACCGGGGAGTGTTTTGAAACTTTTAAAATGATCAGGAAACTGTCAAATCATGGGGAATCGAGTTATTTATGAAGAAAAATTATTATTTTTAAAATTGGAATATTAAAAAAAAGAAATAAGTAAATGAAAATGATGCTATCAAAGTTTTAAACAAATGTCTGTTTTCCAGTAGCAATAGATTTTGAGATGCAGTAGGTTGGATGTCACTGAGTAATATCCCCCTTTGTTATTGTGTTCCATTAGGCTGATTCGAAAGTCATTGAGAAGTGGATGGAGGGTGCGAAAGACTTCTTAATGGAAGAGCAGGCTGTCCAGGGAGATGCTGAAGGGCTACAAAGGCAGCTTGACCAATGCTCGGTGAGCCCTGCTGACCTAGGGGACCTGCTGTTATAAATAACATGTTCTTCTTTTCCTTTATTATCTGCGGCTATTATTAACATTGTTAGAATATGATATGACAGTACACTGAGATAAAACATCTTTCATTATAAAGCTTTCTTTGCTTTAGAGTTAATAAAAAGTGACTGATTATTTTTATTTTATTTTTGGCCATGGTTATAGAAATTTGGATAGAGAGAACAAGAGCTGCCGTTTTATGCCACGATGACAATCTTAGTGTCATAATTACCAATTGCATATCGCTCTTATTGTGCCACATGGTGAAGCATTAAGAAAAACATACTTAATAGTTGAAATTTCCCAGTAATACTGCATACAGTTTATATTTGGTGAAATCATTAGGCTTCTCTAAATTAAAAGTGTCATTTCCTGCTGAGAGTCAAGTATTTCCAATCTAATTTGGCAGATGTCTATATGAAGCACCCAGGTGAAATCAATTTCTTAAGGCACAATATTTCTGAAGCAGTTAAACTTTTGCGTCTCAAACATTCGTTCTTACAATATTTGCAGGGATAAAGCAAACTATAATTATGGCATACACCTCTATGGAAATGAACTCAACAAGGTCTTAATTTATGTGTTCAGGCTTTTGTTAACGAAATAGATACAGTGGAATCATCGCTGAAAAACATGAAGGAAGTAGAGACACACCTTCGAAGTTGTCCAGTTGCTGGAATCGAAACCTGGGTGCAGACCAAACTAGTTGACTACCAAACCCAACTGGAGAAATGTAGCAAGGAGGTAAGTTTTTCAGCTTTACTGTCTGTGTTTTTCAAGAGGTAGATTCCATTGATAACATTGACTGTTATAGCCCATACAGTCTGAAAACCAGAGAGCATACTAATTGTCCAGTTTGGCTCCTCAGTGGGAATGAGCTTGTTGTGCTTAGTAAAGAACAAGAAAGACACTGCAGCTGGGATTGAGTGAGCAGGGGAGGTAGTGGGCTGGAGAGCGGTGAGATGTGAGGTGGGAAGGGAGTTGGGCTGTTTATGGCCTTGGAGACAAAGGTGGGGGATTCTGTTTCAAGGATAACATCACACAGAAGGCAACTTGTAGAGTTTTGAACAGGGAAGTGACATATGATAGATCTTTTAAGATCACTCTGGATTCATCTGGAAAGGCAAGAGGTCATTGCAGCCTTAAGAGAGAATGGCTCCTGGACTGGGGAGATGGTGGTGGAGGCCATGAGAAATGTTAGGTGTGAACTGTGGTTTGTAAGTAGAGATGAGAGTGATGGAAGTGTGATATAAGAAAAAGTGAGCAGTCAAGGACAGACAGGCTAGGAATTTTGCAAAAACGTTCAGTTTGTGTGAATTGTGGTGCCATTTACTGAAACCACAGCAGAAGCTTTTGTTGGAGCAGGTGACATGATGATTTCCATCTGGAAGGGTTCAAGTCGAGATCCTTATTAGACATGCAGGTGGAGGTCTTTAGCACTTACCTCTGGAAAGAGGAAGGGGCAGAGGCCAAGGATGCTGAGAAGGGAAGGTTGGCCAGAGGAGAAACGCCAGGAGAGTGTGAGGTCCCGGAGGCGGGTGGAGAAAGCACCCCACAGAGCCAGGTGCTGGACTTGACAAATGGAGGCTTTTAAAGCCCCTGAGAAAGTGACTCTGTTGAAGTGGTTTGGAAACAGTGACATTGCAGAATGTTGAGGAGAGAACGGGAAGTGAGGAACGGGGACAGCACGTGTATAACTAGCTTTGAGACATTTTTCTATCCAAGAGAGCAGAGAAATGGGGTGGGTGAGGTGCATGGGCATCCAAAGAGATGTTTTTGTAATTTTTAAAAGAGATACTATAGGATGTTTGCATGCCGAAAAGAAGGACCTCGCCTAGAAGGAGGAAATAATGATGCAGAAGAGATTGAGGGAACATAATTTCTGAAGTGAAGTCTGTGATTATGTGTGAGAGGGAACGGGATTTACTCTCTAAGCGAAAGAATTGCTGATGCAGAGTTTCTCCATGGTAATGGGAGGGAAAGTGACTCTTCTGATTGCTTCTCTTTTGTTAGTGAAACAGCAGTGGCGTGAGGAAAGGGTTAAAAATGAGAGGAGAAAATGTGAAATACAGGAATATTTCACAGACAGTCCTGTGGATAGTATATCTCTTAATACAATGTTTTTTGGCTAATGTTTATATAAAAAATTTATATTGCATCCTTGAGTATTTTTTTTTTATGGTTTCCCCTCAAGTTGTTTAATTTGCATATGTTCAAACTGAAAGAAAAGTTGAAATAATGGTACAGGGAGCAGCCTCATAACGGTTTCTGAATTTGCCCGTTTTTAATGTTTTACCATGTTTGCTTTCTCATTTTCTCCCCTGCTCTCTTACATGCATACATACATACATGTATATTTCTTTTGTTTTTGGTTAAAAATGTACTTTTGACAAGGATTTGGAACTATCATAACACCTCACCCTTCAATGAGGACACTATTACACAAAACTGCCGCACCATGCCCATACTTAGGAAAGTATTTTATAATATCTTACTAACAAAAGCCTAGGTGGTCCTCGCACTGCCACGCCATCACAAGATGGCTGCGGGCAGGTGGGCGGGGCTTGAGGCTGCACGAGGGCGCTGGTGGGCAGTTGACCCGGAGCTGCATCAGGGAGGCCCGCAGGGCGCGGGCCGCGGGGCAGGACTCGGGGAGTCACTCCGCGGGGCTGTGGGACTCGGGACTTGGGGGAGCCCCGCAGCCCGCGGGCTAAACATCAGGGCAGAGGGCGCCGCCTCCGCTCCCCGCCCCCGGGGGAGATGAGATTCAGCTCCCGTGTCCGTGTCGGGATAAACCTGGGGTGGCGGGAGCTGCCCGCCCTCCACGTCCACCTCAGCCTTGTCCTGGGGTATGGACAGGACAGAAAACCTCCCGGTCACTGCCTGGGCCGCTCCCCTGAGCTTGTCCCCACGCAGGAGCAGTGACTTCATTTCCTGACCAGAACTGTGACCTCACTTCCTGACCGTGGGGCCCAGCAGAACGTGGAACCGTAGCCAGGCAACCCCGTTCTTAAACAGTCCCTACCCCGCTCCTTGGATGGATGGAGGTATTGCCTCGCAGGCATGTTGTGCTGTATGCCAAAGGCCCGCGGCCGCTGCTGCCGCTGGCGCCGCCTTTGGCCGTTTTCTCGGGGGAACCCGCAGGTAACCGGGGAGGCCCAGGGCGGCTTTCTTAGAGCCAGGCCACCACGCTCACCCGCCTCGCCAGCCCCGTGTGCCCCGGGGCGTCGGCCCTGCCGGGGCTGTGGCACTCCGGACGGACTCGGTGCGGGCGGGGTCCCAGGTCTCACACAGTTTCACGTGTCGAGTCACTAGTCAGCTAATAATTTAGCCAAATTCAGATTTCTCTCTAAATGTGCTATAATCGGATGCTATATGCTTGAATGGGGTTTTTGGGGTAGTAAATAAGGAAAATGGTTTCGAAGTGGCAGTGAGAAGCCAGGAAGGTGATGGATACATAGAGACAGACATAGACATAGATGTTCAAATCTATATCTGTCTGTCTCTATTTCCCTATCCACATATATACATGCACACATATGACAGTATGGAATTAGTTGTGAATTATTGCTGGTTCAAAACATGGGACTGAATGTAGGGGACATGGTTCAGTGTCCTCAGCAGGAGGCAACCCTCCAGACTATTGCATTTCATGGAGTCATAAAAAGGCTGAAGAAGTTTGAGATAAACATAATGCTGCCAAATTTTTATTTTGCTAAGAAGGGACAGGCATATGAAAGCAATCAACAAGCAAAAACCAGTCCGTGTCATCTATTCTACCTAGCCAGGATCTCATGAAAGGAAGCACACTATAATGCCAGATATTAGAAAGTTTATAATTTCAGGGGAGTTAATTACAATTTTGAGCTTTGCTTTTTCTGAAAAGTTTACTAGTGTCTTTATTTATTATTTTTTTGCATTTCTTTATGGAAACATAAAAATTATATAACTAACTAGTGTCCAGAAACTAGCAAAGAGAACGTTTTGGAAGTGGGGCCCAAGAAGTGTGTGTGTGTGTGTGTGTGTGTGTGTGTGTAGCTGATCAGGTTAAACTCTTGCTCAGCCAGGCCTTGGCCAGGCTCTTAGAGTACCAGACTGGCGTGAGATCAAAGCTCCTGTTTGACCCCTTTCTATTTTTATGACTGTGATCCGGTTGGAGAGTGGAGACAGGAAAGCCACTAAGCCATGCCCCTTACTCTCGGGAGAGCCATCTATTCCTGTCCTGGCCCTTGGTCACTATCAGCTGTGCAGCCAAGCTGCCCTGGCAGGTGATGCTGCCATGAGATTGAACTGGAGGGGGAGGGTGAATAGCGAGTGAGCATGGTCTCTGTGGACGGTATCTCTCCCCTAGTAAATGTGAGTTTGCAGTAAGAGGGAGGAGCTCTTAGGAAGTATTTTAGGTTTCTCTGAAATGTTGAAGTTATTGAACCAGGTTGAGAATAAATACCTATTTTCTCATGTAACATTTTTGTGTCTCTGTGGAATATACAAGTATAGTAAATTATCAAAACCAAAATTTTCTAGAGCAGTATTTTATGAACATCGTTAATAACAGCCTCCTCTTCTATGCTTTTAAAATTGAAATCATTACAGCGAATCTTTTTTAAAAAAATATTTTATTGATTTTTTTACAGAGAGGAAGGGAGAGAGATAGAGAGTTAGAAACATCGATGAGAGAGAAACATCCATCAGCCGCCTCCTGCACATCTCCCACTGGGGATGTGCCTGCAACCCAGGTACATGCCCTTGACCGGAGTCGAACCTGGGACCTTTTAGTCCGCAGGCCGACACTCTATCCACTGAGCCAAACCCGTTTCGGCACAGCGAATCTTGTTAAAAAGGAGAAAATGGATATTTTGGTTGCATTTAGGTTTTTTTCCTACAATAAACAATGCTACAGTAAAATTTCTTGTAACATGTGCTTTTATTGCTGTAGGTTAGGTTCCTTCATTTGGGAAGTTATGCATTTTTAAAATTATAATAGACTAGAGGCCCAATGCACGAAATTCATGCAAGAGTAGGCCTTCCTTCTCCTGGCTGCTGGCACCGGCTTCCCTCTGGCATCCGGGACCTGAGCTTCCCTCGCAGCCTGGCTTTGTCTGGAAGGTTGTTTGGAAGGATGTCTGGAAGGATGTGTGGTCTAAGTAGCATATTATGCTTTTATTATTATAGATATGTCCAGATTAGATTAATATCCAAAGTGTGAACTAGAAACACAGATATCATTATTGTTTTCATTATTGCTTATATTTTCACAGCATCAGCAGAAAGTGTGTAAAGGCTTTTATCTGAATTTTAACCGTCAGGGTCTTTGTGGAGAGTTACCACTGTGTCTTTAGCTATTAGAAACTTGACATTTACTGTATTAACACTTGTTTATTTGGCTAAATGGGCTTTTCTTTTCTAGATTTCTATTCACAAAAATAAGTTGTCTGAAAGACAGGAAAAAGTGGTGAATCTGAAGAAAGATTTGTCAGAGATGCAAGAATGGATGACCCAGGAGGAAGAAGAATACCTGGAGAGAGATTTTGAATACAAGTCACCGGAAGAACTTGAGAGTGCCGTGGAAGAAATGAAGGTGAGGCTGGGACAGTCAATGTCAGCAGGCTTTATCTCTCCCTTTAAAGTCAATCAATCACACAAACAATCATCCATCTGGCTATAAATCATGATTGTTCAATTGACCCTTGAACAACACAGGTTTGAACTGTAGGGGTCCATTTATACACAGAATTTAAAAAATAAATACTGTAAATGTATTTTTTCTTTCCTATGGTTTTCTTCATAACTTCTTTTTCTCTACCTTACATATAACATACAAAATATGTGTTCATTGACTATGTTATTCGTAAGGCTGTTTATGTTATTGGTCAACAGTAGGCTCTTAGTAGTTAAGTTTTGGGGGAGTCAAAAGCTTATCATGAATTTTGATCCGTTGTGTTGTTCAAGGATCAGTGGTACATAATCTTCCATACGAGGATTTCAAATTTAAAAAAAAGGAAGGGGAGCTGCTGTGATTCTAGTAAGGGAAGGAAGTTCAATGTGGCCCATGAGTTGAATCCATTAGGGCCCTGAGATGTTTTCTTATATTAGAATCTTGGGGAATCATAGAGAATGAGTTAAAAAAATTCAATGGCATCAATCACATTCACAATGTTGTGCAACCATCACAACTATTTCCAAAAATTTTCAGGAATAATTTTTTTTCATTAGGAACAAGAAAGACTTTCCAGTTTGCTTGGGGTTTATCCTTATTTCATCAGATGTGTTCTTCCAGTTACTACATGGGGCACACATGTATATAAGCGGTTTGTTAGAGCAGGTAGAGTTGCAGTAGGAACACTGTCAAGGGATTTAATATAGGCTGGGGCCACAGGATATATTTCCCATGAACTTACATTCCTCTGTCAGTAGTCTTGAACACTTTTTTTAAATATGATAAAAGAACTGGGCATCATTCCCAAATTTCCAACCTCACTTCAAGTCTCCTTCAGTGTCCAAGCCAAAGGAGATAGTGATTAAAGGCTATTTTAAAAAATAACATTAAGTAACACATTGAATGTTTTAGGCCAAAGTTAACTTGCCTAAAAGTGTAACTAAAGCAAAAATCTCTGTGCAGATATTTTTAAAAAAGTATTAGATTTTGCCCAGCCTGTGTGACTCAGTGGTTGAGTGTCAACCTGTGAACCAGGAGGTCACGGTTCAGTTCCAGGTCAGGGCACATGCCCAGGTTGCAGGCTTGATCCCCAGTAGGGGACTTGCAGGAGGCGGTGAATCAATAATTCTCTCTCATTATTGATGTTTCTATCTCTCCCTCTCTGAAATCAATAAAAATATATTTTAAAAAAAGGATTAGATTTCATCCTTGCATTATTATATATGACAAAGGACTTTTATTGTACTTGTATTTTCACAGAAACATCTTTCTTAGTGTAGCTTTTTTTTTTAAAAAAATTTTTTTTATTGATTTCAGAGAGGAAGGGGGAGGGAAAGAGAAAAAGAAACATCAATGATGAGAGAGAACCATTGATCAGCTGCCTCCTGCATGCCCCACACTGAGGATCGAGCCCACAACCCAGGCATGTGACCTGATTGAGAATTGAACCTTGATCTTCTGGTTCATTGGTTAGCACCCAACCATTTGGCAACACCAGCCGGGCTAGTGTAGCTTTTTTTTTTAAAGCTTTAAAAATATTCAGTATATAAGGTATTTTAAAGGTAGCCTACCACTTATTTCATTTATTTTCTTTACAGTACTGGCTTAGTAGTTTTGTGGTTTATTTAAGTCTCTAGGGATGAGAGTTTAGAAAAATGAGATTTAACACCCTCGATTGGGCAACATTCTATTTATTTTTATTTTTCCAAACAATCATTTTAATTTTAAAAACCACTGCTCTTAACTATTTTATCCAACCTAGGAAAGTTAAAACCATTAAGAACTAAAGAAAACTGAACAAGAAAGTATAAAGCTGTTTTTGGTTGATTTTCCTGAAAGTGAGACTTTATCCTAAGTGCAGAGTGGGAGTCAGGAAAGAACTATTTCTAGATCAGATCTTCCTAGTATAACTTTATCATCTTGGAAATGCTGTTCAGTATCAGAAGGCTAGATATACCGAAGTCACAGAGAGAAAAATACATTTGCATAATTTTTAAAGGACATCTCTACCATGGTGCATCTCAACTTTTATGACCATTTATTTATTTCAGTCTAATATGTTCAGAACTCTAGTGGCTAATTAAAATTAATTCACTTAGATTCTTTCATGGGCCCAGACTTTGAAAATATTTAACATCAGTAAACATAACTTAAGGATGACTTAGGTGCTAACGTTGCCTGCCGGTTATTTAAATGAAAATGTTTGTGTGGGACTGTATTTACTGAGGCATATAATGAGTGAGATTTTATAGTTAGTATTTTATTTTATTATTTTATTTTTTCAAAAAGCACTTTGTAGTGATTACCTAAATAGTGTTCTAAATTAGGTAGTTGAAATCATGTAGATGTTTTAATTTTGGTTTAGTTATTTTAGGAAAAAGAAAGACATTGGTTAGTGAGAAAGGGGGACAATTTTCATCTCTCTCCTTCCATGGAACAGAGGGCGAAAGAGGATGTGTTGCAGAAGGAGGTGAAAGTGAAGATTCTGAAGGACAACATCAAGTTAATGGCTAAAAAGGTGCCCTCTGCTGGCCAGGAGTTGACATCTGAGCTGGATGTTGTGCTGGAGAATTACCAGCTTCTTTGCAACAGAATTCGAGGAAAGTGCCACACGCTCGAGGTATGCTATTTGTTCAGGGATGTGTTTCTGAGGTTAAAACTTTATAATGTACTGACCATTTCCATTTCTTGGAAAAACTTCATTTTTTCCCAAATTCAGGATCATAAAGGAAAATAGTTCTTGGTTAATAGGTTAATACAACGAAGCAGGGATAAAAAATATAGGAGACCAAGATCTGCCCTCAATTAAGGTTCTTGGGAAAGTCATTGAACATCTTTAGACTACATTTTTTTTATATGTGAAATCAAGTTTTTCATGTCACAGGTGATCTATAGGCAGATTCTATAGATTCTAGAACAATGTACTGTGAACATCTCTTTTGTTTTGTTTTTTTCTGGTTAGTGCACAGACAGGAATCTAGTTTTAAAAATTTTTTTTATTTAGAGTGGTATCTACAGTTAGAGTCACCTGAAAGGAAGCAGAACTTGAATATGCTGTTAATTAACTGGGCATTGGGTTTAAGATGCAGATGATTCTATGAGTTTTGTTTTTTTATTTAAAATAAAATTGAGTTCTTTCTTATTTGTTTCTATATTAGTGTGACTTTTATGTCATTGAAAATAGTTTAAGAACACTTCAATTTAAATTCAGCTCACCCTCAAATAAATGATCATATTGAAGTATATCCTAAAATGGTAAACAGCACAACTATAATATTTAAACTGAACTCAACCATTACTTGCTTTTTCTGAAACCATTTTGTGGTAAAGATAAACATGGATAATTGAGACTAGTTAATAAGAAAGCTGCAACTCAAACAGAACCTCACTCTTTAATATTAACATATTATCTAATGTAAAATACAGGAGGTTACTCATTTGAGAAATTAAAATTCTGTAAACAGAACATATAGTGTTATGCATGCCTAATCTTAAGTCCTAGTGAATGATCTTGGAATTGAACTTCACTATAGTCTTATGCATGTTTTCTTCTCTGTCATAACCACCCTTGATTTTGCTCTTTTTTCTTTTCCTTTTATTTCTAGCCAAAATAACAACTAAGTCTCCCCCCATCCCTCTCTCTCTCTCTCTCTCTCTATATATATATATATATATATATATATATATAATTAAAAGATTTTTTTATTGATTTCAGAGCAGAAGAGAGAGAGAGAGAGAGAGAGAGAGAGAGAGAGAGAGAGAGAGAGAGATGGAAACATCAGTGATGAGAGAGAATCATCAATTGCTGCCTCCTACATGCCCCACACTGGGGATTGAGCCCACAATGCCCTTACCTGGAATTGAATGGTAACCTCCTGGTTCATAGGTCAATGCTCAACCACTGAGCCATGCCGCCTGGGCTACATAATGAACGGAGTCCCCAAATTATCCCAGGCTAACAAAAGACCACCATATATTGTATCATTTCTTTAAGCTGTCTTTATGATCTAGAGGTGACAATTTTATAATAAGGAATGAGGGTTTGGAATTGCTTTGAGAATTACTTTTATAGTTACTTTGAAATTAGTTTGAGAGAATTACTTTGAGAGAAGAGAAGGAAAATGCAAAAAAAAAGATATAGGTAAAAGAGAAAAGATAAGGCCTTGATATTTTAAAAATGGTAAATGAAAAAGAAGAAAAAAGGGGTTTAAAAGTGGAAATTATTTTAAAATTATGTCAGCAATTACCAAGGAATATTGGGCAGAAACAGACCAAATTTCTAAGTTAGAGTGAGAATGCCCTTCTTAGAGGATCCAAATGTATCACCTGGATTATTTTTAGGCTCCTTAAAATATATATGAAATCAGGAACTAGTTCAGACTTACAGAAGAGTAGAGGTAATACTATTAATACATCTTTTAACTATAACTAATGTTAACTTTTTGCCATATTTTCCCAGATCTCGTTTTTAAATAAAGTACATTAGTATTGTGGAACCTGTTTTCTTCTTTTCCATCCCATCTCATCTTTCTCTTGAAGTAATCATCACCCAGAAGTTGGTGTATATTCTTCCCAACCATGTTTTTATATTGGTAATATATACACCCACTTATGTCTCAGTTATCAATTGTTATGCAACAATCTCCCCAAAACGTAGTGACTTTTGAAACAGCCATTCATTATTTCTCATGGTTCTGTGGTTGAGGTGGCTCAGTGGGGTGGCTTTCTGCTCCATGTGGTCCATGACTAGCTCACTCAGGTGACTGCATTCGACTGGGGGCTCAGCGGGGACATCACGATGGCCTCTCATCCCCCAGGCCTCTCTCCACGTGATCTTCCAGTTTCACAGCTTCTCTACCGCATGGCAGCTGGCTTTTCAGAGGGAGAAAGCAGAAGCTCCCAGTCCTCTAAAGGCTTGGTCTGCAGTTTGACACAGTGTCACATCTGTAACATTCTTTTGGTCTAAGCAAGTCACAAGGCCAACCCACGTTCCAAGGCAGGAGAAAAGAATTTCACCACTTAATGAGAGTAGGGGCAAAAAAACTGTGGCCATCGTTAATCCACCATAGTCCACCCTCTGGTCATACATTAGTGACAGTCCTCCCACATGCAAAATGCACTTACACTGTCCCAGGGACTCCCCAAGGCGTGTCCAGTACAGCATCAGGTCTGAACAGCTGTGACTCTCAGGGCAGTTTCTTTAGGTGCAGGTGTGGCACCGCTCAATCTGGAGACTTGCCCATTAAAAAGATAGGTTATCACGCCCCATACACTCACATTCAAAGGTGAGCGAGACATAGGAAAACCTCAGCGGACACTCCATTCAAAAAAGTGGGGGCAGTGGAAGGTAAATAGCAGTCACTGTTAATAGTGACTGAACTGTAGTAACAGTCACTCTGAAATCTGGCCAGGGCCCCTACACCAGGGGCAGGACTGGTACTTGATTAGGGACCAGTTCTGTTTCCTGGGAATGCTGCTCATTTTTCCTTTCCCGTAAGAAATTGGGCTCTGCTTGCAGCCGAGTAGATGTCTCTGCTGCTTTCCACCTGTAGAAATTTGGGGGACCAGACACACCGTTTCTCTCTTAGTCTTATTCAAGGGCTGGCACATTGCAGCCTGAGGGTCAAATCTGGTTTGTGTCTCTTCCACTATAGCCTGTGAGCTAACAATGGTTTGTATGTTTTTCATTTTTAAAGGATTATTAACAACAAACAAAAACACACACAAAATAAACAGAAGAATCTGTGGCAGGGACCAGACTAGCTTGTGAAACTTACAATATTTACTGTCTGGCCTTTAATGGAAAAAGTCGCTGCCCCCTGACCCGGTAAACACAACTCATTTGGAGTGCGGGCTAGAACATGCCTCTCTCAGTCAGTGGATCCGAAAGAGAACCAACCGGGAGGTTCACGTGGAACTCTTTTCCCTACACTTATCAGTCAAATAAGCTCCTCTTCTGTGGGGAAGGGGCTGTTCCTCCCATAATTTTCTCCTAGGAAGTTGGGGCTATAAATTTATCCCCCTGGAATCCCTCATAGGAATGGGGAATAGTGATTGCCATTAATACAGTTAGTAAAACTCCATTTTGGCAAAATATGGTTCTTTGCATATAGAGACATGTTCATGTGAATTTAGAAAACAGTTGGAAAGAGTATACAGCAAATTGTTACGTCCATTAGCTCTGAGTTGAAATAGGATAGACCCACGGGATTCCAGTTTTCTAAATAATTGTTAAAAAGTGTTGCAATTATGAGTGCTTTTACCTTTCTAGTTTAAAAGCAAACTAATAATATATTCCTTTTGTTTTTTTGTGTGTTTTTTTTTGCTACTAATTAATTTATTTTTTACTTTTAACCAGTTCCTTGGAACTTATTTTCCTGTTAAGAGCAGCTCGCTCCTCTTTGCCTCCTGTCTCCTTCTGATTGGTCCAATGTGATTTAGTAGAGAATGAGGTTTTATTTCATTTATTTGAAATTCCAATTTCATCAGTTTCTGGATCTCCGCCTATGCTCCTGTCTAAATGCAGTGATTGTTGAGTAGAGAGAATAGGTAGCACTGTAGATACACGCATCTCTAAATGGCTGCTTGTCTAATGCACCTTCCTCCTTGCCTGCTCTAGGAGGTATGGTCTTGTTGGATTGAACTTCTTCACTATTTGGACCTTGAGACCAGCTGGCTGAACACTCTGGAAGAGCGAATGAGGAGCACAGAGGCCTGCCGGAGAAGGCAGACGCTATCAACGAGGCCCTGGAGGTGGGCATCTGCGTCCTCTGTGGTATTTCTTGTAGGGAAGTCAAATGAGTATTAAAATGAGGGACATTCTGCCTTACACCAGCAACGCATTTTCTCCCTCAGCAGTTTTCAGTGTTGCCTTCTACTGCTTGAAGTGTTTGTACCATCCTTTATATTTAGATTAATGGTGACCCACTAACTCAGTCCCCAAGTGGGTACTTGTTTGTTAATTAGTGTATTGTAGACGTCAGGAAAGCACTGGAGTGATTTTCCTGCTTCTTTTTACCAGTCCCTGGACAGAACTCTGCCTTATGTTATTAGGACAATTGCTCTCTTGTTTCTTCATAAAGTTATTTTTGCTCCTAAGATATGACAATGACTCTGTTTGCAATGGCTCCTACTGTGTTATCTTCAGATGTAACAAGTTGGAGGACAGGGTGGAGAGGGACGAGTGAGAAGGGTGGGATCCTGTTCGAGGAGCTCAACTTGAATTCCTTGAGGCCAAGAAATCCACCTGATTTTTCTTTCACGATGACTTAATAACTGTTTCTTAAATGAAATAAAATATGAAGACAATAGAGCTGCTTTAAAAAAAAAGGAGGAGGAGGCTAGGAAGAGGATAGATATGCTTTTGAAATTGTAGGGACATGTGATAATTAAGCGGATGACTGGATTGAAGGTCAGAAGTAAGTCAAAGGTGGTACCTGAATCCCAGGAACTGGATGCTCTGCTGGAGAAAAGATGTCACTTCTCAGATAAGGGAGCAGAGTGAGAGGTGAAGAGCATGAAAACAATGAAAAGCTTAATTTAAAAATGAATATTTTCCTAACATGAGAATTAAAATGTGTACATTCTAGAAATATGGAAGATGGAGAAAAGTGTAAAACACACTCTAAGATAAATACTTTTAAACATTTTGGCAAATTTCTTCCTACTTATTATTATTATTTTTTTGTTAATCCTCACCTGAGGATATTTTTTTCATTGCTTTTCAGAGAGAATGGAAGGAAGGAAGGGGGGGAGAGAAAGAGAGAGAGAGAAAGAAACATCAATGTGAGAGAGACACATCGACTGGTTGCCTGTTGCACAAGCCCCAGGGGGAGGGGGGCGGGGAGTGAACCCGCAACCCAGGTAGGTGCCCTGACCAGGAATTGAACCGCAACCCTTCGGTGCCCAAACTGACCTCTAACCACTGAGAGGCACTGGCCAGGGTTCTAATTATTGTTAATTATTGTTAATTATTGTTAATTATTGTTATTACTTTTTAACACACACACTGGAAGGTAGTACATTATAGTAACTGGATCAAAGACTTTGAAATCATAAGGAGTCAGGTTGGAATCTTAGCTCTTCTTTTTACCGTATGTATGTAGGCAAAGTACTTAAGCTTTCTGAACTTCAGTTTTCCCATCTGTAATATGAAATAATAAAATTTAACTCCAAGGTTACTTAGATTTATGTACATATAAAGTGTGTATACAAAATAGTACCTAGCTTTTTATATATGTTATAGAAATCCGAGTACCTATTTTTTGTAACATAATCAACAGTTTGAGATAATTTTGCTTTATAGTATTGTTTTCTGATTTCAAACTTTGTATCACACCATGAACATTTCCTCATGTAATTAATAATTACTAAAGTTATTTTATGAAGTTGTATTGTCATATATCATCTTTCATGCTTTCTCAATTTTATGTATTGTTTAATACCATGATGGATATTTTTGAAAATTAATTATTCCTAGTCTTTTTCTTGGGTAGAAAATGAAATTAATTGTTTAAAAAACAGACACTTTTGGATCCTTGGTACATTTTGCCTCAGTAAGTGCATGATTTCTCCCCTTCCTTCCCTGTCCAGTCTCTAGAATCTGTTTTGCGACATCCAGCAGATAATCGCACCCAGATTCGGGAACTTGGCCAGACTCTGATTGATGGAGGGGTCCTTGATGACATAATCAGTGAGAAACTGGAGGCTTTCAACAGTCGATATGAAGAATTGAGTCACTTGGTAAGAACTGGGACGTGCATGAGTGCAGACTAGGTGTTTGTGAGACGGAGCTGACTTCAAGAACTTGTACCAAGGGAAAAAGTTGGTAGCCAACATTACGGGGGTGTTGTGGGCTTTGAAATACTAGCTGAGGAAGAGTAAACCTAGCTCTATAGGCAGGCAAAACTTGATGATTAAAAAAAATCTATCTTTGAGATGGCTTCTGTTTATGAACTATTTCATTTCCTTTGAGCTATATTGTAGCTGTATATAAGAATAACTCATATTGTCCTAGTAAATACTAGACCGGCAGAATTTGACATAAGCTGTTGTGATAAAATGCCAAGCTGTCTTAGATGCATATCCAGAATGAATTGCAATGTGCATGCTCATATCAGTAAGTAGAGAAAGGAGACTGTTCTTCCCTAGGAGGGTTAGATGGATATTAGTGCTTTCAAATCCATATTCAATAATAACTGTTGATGCTGAGATCCGGAAAAGAATCAAGCTTGATTCAAAAGTGTAGCAAGTAGTGGTTTACACACATGTGCATGGAATTTGTTTTAGACTTTGGAAAAAGCTTTATATGTTCACTCTACTGATAGACGTTTGTTATATTTTATATGCTTGTTGATAGGCTAATTGCTGATTCCTGAAAAACCTTAAATTCATAATAAGTGGCAAATTCTTTGTTTAATATATTATGTAGGAAACCTTTACATTTTTATATATTGTCATTGTATGTAGAAAGAAGTAAAAACGAGTAACTCACTGCAAGATATATAAGGTACCAGAAGGACCCTTTCATTGTTATCATTGCTAGTTATTTATTCATACTGCTCACCAAAGTCTTGAACTAGAGCCTGTATTTCTTTTCTTGGTGATCAGATCATAGGGTTTTCTTATATTCAGCTATTTATGTTTGTGCTGAGAGACTAATGATTCAGTTTTATCCCCTGTGTAGGCAGAGAGCAAGCAGATTTCTTTGGAAAAACAACTCCAGGTCCTGCGGGAAACTGATCACATGCTTCAAGTTTTGCAGGAGAGCTTACGAGAGCTGGACAAGCAGCTCACAACCTACCTGACGGACAGGGTAGACGCCCTCCAAGTTCCGCAGGAAGCTCAGGTACTGCCATGGATCTGAGGTGTTTGAGTTGTCAGAAGAGCAAATGTAATTGCCTCCTCACCTGCAAGAGAACCAGCCCCTCCTGCCATCCCAAACCAGCAGTCAGTGAGAAAGGGTGACCTTGCTTTTGGGGCAGCATGTGGGTTTTGGAGTTCTCTTGGCTTGTCTGTGAAACCCTGGTAAACGATAGCTTTCTTAGCTACGAAATTGGGAAAATTCCTTTTTTACCAATAAGCAGTGAACATTAGAAATGACAAATGCAAAGACCATAGTTCGTGCACAACATACAGTAGTCCGCGTTTTTATTATTATACTGCAAACTTACTGAAACTTGAACAGGGCTCTGCATATTCTTATGTAATATATGATTATATGGAACTTAAAAAAATACAATCTTCCCCCCTTCTAATCTCTTTGTAGAAAATGCAAGCAGAGATCTCTGCCCATGAGCTAACGCTGGAGGAGTTGAGAAGAAATGCGCGCTCTCAGCCTCCGACCTCCCCGGAAGGCAGGACTGCTAGAGGAGGAAGTCAGATGGATGTCCTGCAGGTGAGAGGGGGAGCGATGTGCTGGCAGTGATTACTTGGATGCCTTTGGTCTTCTTTTTGATGTGAACAGTGAGCCGAGTGACACATTGCAGGTGCATTGCATCCCAGGCAGAGCTGCAGGAACAGATTATTGCATGCGCGGAAGATATCGAATGTGATTCTATAGTTGAGTTGAGAAGAGATAGCAAGCTAGGTTTAGAAGTTAGCTTGAAAAGTCTTCCCCCTAATGCAGAGTCCCCGTCAGTTCTGTGTGGCTAATACACCGGGCACCACTCAGTTCTTGGTGGTGGATGTGAGATTGACTTTCACTCTGAGCTCATGACAAACACTCTGAGTTCTAGGTTCCTGACTGTAGTTTTCAAATAGGTGAGAAACTTAGTGAAGTTTTAATTTCAGCGAGGCCAGCTGAGCCTTTTATTATATCTAAGACTGACACACTGAATGTCAAGTGATGTATGATCCTGGGTAACCTCGCTGAGTTCCTTTACAGAATGCTTTTATTGGTGCTTTATTTTTACAGCTTTTTAGCAGCATGTGTTATACTAATACCGTCTGTTGAGAGAGATTATCATTCTGATGTGAATTGCTTATTATTTTCATTTCTTCAAACAGAGGAAACTTCGAGAGGTATCCACCAAGTTCCAGCTTTTCCAGAAGCCTGCGAACTTCGAACAGCGCATGCTTGACTGCAAGCGTGTACTGGATGGTGTGAAAGCAGAACTGCATGTGCTGGATGTGAAGGACGTGGATCCTGATGTCATCCAGACCCACCTGGACAAGTGTATGGTGAGGGCGCTGGTGGTTAATGGGCTCACTGGGTTTTCCAGCAGCAAATATGGCTTCATCTAGCATAACATACATGGTTTGTTCAATATGTATTTGTCTCCAGCGTGCTAACAATAGGGGTGAATGATGAAAAACAGTTTATAAAATAGGAAGTGTGGTATTTTCCTCCAAAGACATTAGGAGAGATAGGGGAGATAGATAGGAGGGAGTAAAATCAATTATTACAGTGTCATGAAATTAAAAAAATGAAAAAAGGCATAAATATACATACATATATGTATATATATATATATATATATATATATATATGATTAAAAAACAAAGGAAACACTCATAATCACAGTATGATGTTAGAATATGACTAATAAACTAACCTTTAAAGGATAAATTTGAGGTAGCTAGAAGAACCATACTTAGAATGGATGTTAGGAATATTACCATGTAAAAAAATGATTCTTAGGGATACTTAAATTTTAATTTATAAAGTCTAAATCTAAAATATGAAAGAAGAAATTATACTTAGAACAGATGTCAGGGATATTATTACAGAAAAAATCATTCTCTAGGAAAATTAATTTTAAATCAAAGTTTAAACCTAAGATCTGAAAAAAAATATTTAGAAGGCCTTATTGCTATTGCAGTCTTGAATTTTAAAATTCAGTTGCTTATACATTTTAAAATGTGGCTAAGCATACACACTCTTAGAATTAGTGTTCTGCTTGAGAAGAATCATGAAGAAGCTGAAGATGACACTTGTTAAGACAAAAGTTTGGGATGAGTCCTTTGTGCTTATCAAAACTGTAATTTCCACATGTCTGTTATATACCAAAGGTTGTTTGATTACTCAAAAGCTGAAATGGGTGGAAGAATGAATAAATAGGATACATTTCTGCATGTGTGTGTGTGCATGTGTGCACACACTTATATATGTAAATATTTACTGAGATAATAGAGGTCAACAAAGCAAGCACCATTCTTGACTGTGTGTGACTTGGCCCAGTGGTCTGTTATGTGACAGAGCCACCTGAGATGTTTCAGGTCAGGATCACGATGAGTGGAGACAAGAGAACCTGCACAGAATAGTTTAAGGTAACTAAGATGAAGACAGCTCTGAATTTGACTTGATGACTAAAATTTCTTAAAGTCATATTTATCTTGACGAGTTGAGCTGTCATATATCTTTTCATTACATAAGTAATATGTACTGATGTAGTAGACTTGGTACTTCAGAATTGAAAGGAAACAAATAAGAATGCTAATATTTCCAAATTCCAATAGGCAGAAATATGTCAGAATTGGCTTTTTTCTAATAATAGCATTTAGGACTTTTAAAGTCATAATTTTGAAAATGATAGACATTCGAATTTTTAGTCCTGATATTTTCACATTTTATGTTGGAAAAATGTTCATAAACTTTCATAAATTTTTAAAATACATATCTGAGTGTGTTTTTTAAACAAGTATAAATGCCATTTGTTTGTTTTCTTCTCTGATCTAAAAAAGTTATTGCAAACTTGATGATATTTTACTCATCCTTTGAATCCAAATCGGGGAAAGATAAAGCCCTTTGATCTCCGTAGTAAAATCATAGCTGTCAATCTGGATAAGCCGTGTTCTGAAATGATTTGAGTTACTGGGTTTTCACTGTGATGTGTGCGATTTGTCTTGTTTTCTTTTTAAGAAACTCTATAAAACTCTAAGTGAAGTCAAGCTTGAAGTGGAGACAGTAATCAAAACAGGAAGGCACATTGTTCAGAAGCAGCAAACCGACAACCCCAAGGGGCTGGACGAGCAGCTGACTTCTCTAAAGGTGCTCTACAATGACCTGGGTGCCCAGGTGAGGCCAGCAACGCACCGCCACCTCTCTCTCTCTCTGTCTCTCTGTCTCTCTCTGTGTGTGTGTCTCTCTCTCTTTTGTGCATTTTAAAATTTCACTTTTGGGAGAATGCGTGTTTAAATTTTATGGTATTAATAATGTTTTCAGTGATTCCAAGAATTTTTATTAATTTTTAAATGTTTGTGCTAATATTACAGTGATTACTAGTTGTATTTATTGAAACTTATTTTTAATATTTAATCCAGATTCACTTTATATTTTCAATGACTACTGACATTTCAAAAGTAAACTTTAAAAATAATAGTCCCTGTTTAAACTCCAGTTATTGGTTTATACCAATAATAGCATTTAGGATTTTTAAAATCATAATTTTAAACATTGAATTTAAATTGATATTTAAATTGAATAGTCTACTGAAAGTGTTCAAACATCAGGGTTCTAATAAATATTATGTGACAAGAAGGTCACATTGATCGAGCAGGACTTAAAATCCTTTCAGGAAACAGCTATAATTTGAGCATTTTAGTGAATCGGTGGGGGAGTGGTGGGTCATTTACTGACTGGATCCAATAGGCTGAGTGTCTTCTCTCACGGAGAATCTCAGTCTTGAAACCAGGGAAGTAAAAAAAAAAAAAAAGTGTGGAACTGAAAACTTGGCAATATTAAAAGGCTGCGTTAGATTATATTTTAGATCCTTCTTGAGTTATTAAATAGTAACTGAGTTTCTACAAGAGCCCAGAGAAAACCAGCTAAAATGTTATCACTTTCAAACCAGTGAAAATGGGCAGTCCATATATTTCCTGGGTGTTCACTTCTGCAAGATTGGGTTGTTGATTTTGATACATTTTGATGCACTGGATCACATTTCTCAGCGCATCATTTTGATATTACACAGCTGAAGTTATTTTTGAAGCATTATATTTATTTATTGACTGGGCAATTTATGCGTGGGAATGGTGTTGCTGGTTTTTACACCAGTTCCCTAATTCGGGCTTCTGGTTCAGACCAGGCTTAATCCCATGGCTGTGTCACCTTGGTCATAGTCCTATTACAGAGGTGGTTGTGGGTTTTATTGCATAACGTGTATGATTTCTTAACACCATTTGTGAGATGTATCAAGAGCCTGGTAAATGTTACTTCAGTTCATTTTGCTTTTTTCTAAGAAAAAAATTATAAAGGGTTTTATTGCATAATCATTTACTGCATTTTTCATTAAGTGGGTAATTGTAAAAAATGATTGTGAAAATCGTGCTATTTCCCCTCAAATTGCTAGAATATAATGTTTTTTAAACAGAGTCCTTCATTGAGATGATTCTGAGCATCTTCTGTTCAAAATAGTAAAAGATACTACTTACTGATCCCTTAACTTTGTTGCAAGGATTGGGCCAAGACCTTTGTGTATGTATTTTTCTCCTTTAAAACTCATAACAACCTTTTGAGGCTCATACCTCTATCAAGGTCCCTTAGGAAGGAAGTGGCAGAGCTAAGATGAAAACCCAGGGTTGCCTGACACTTAACCACGACTGTATAGTGTCCCCTGCAGAAATGCAAGAGTGAGTAACTCTTGGTGCTAGAGATAAAGGTTGTATATCTCTTGGGGTTCAATCCGAGTCAGTTTGGATCCTCAGCGATTATCCATGTTTAGTCCTCTCTCGCTTCCCTCTTTTCAGGTGACGGAGGGAAAACAGGATCTGGAAAGAGCATCCCAGTTGGCCCGGAAAATGAAGAAAGAGGCTGCTTCTCTCTCAGAGTGGCTTTCGGTGACTGAAACGGAACTGGTACAGAAATCCAATTCGGAAGGTTTGCTTGGAGACTTGGATACAGAGATTTCCTGGGCTAAAGTGAGTCATAGTTCAGGGGGACCACCAATATCACCCCAGCGTGACCTGTGGCATTTTTGTTCAGGGCAAACTGGGTGGATGTTATTTTTCTCCATTTTATATTAAATATAGACTTTCCCTTTTTTCCATTACTTTTTCTACTTCTCTGTCCTAAGAAAAACAATAAGAATATTTTTAAAACAACTATTCCAAGAAGCTACTTTTGTCTTGATTCCAAAAATGTTGAACTCTGATCTGTCACCAACAGGCCTTCAGAGGCGTTCTGCTTATGTGGCACTTGAAAATATGATAGTTACACTTTCAAAGTTGGTGATAAGTTGGTGATTTCTTTTTGAGCATTCATTCCTCACACAGTGTTGTGCTGAATTTATTTGTTAATTCTTCTACAATAACTTTTGTACCAGTTACTAGTTTTTCTATTGCAAACCGATGTAAAGAGCACAGAGACAGAATTTTCAAAAGAATCAATGAAAGATCCAAGAGTTTTCTTTGGCTCTTTAGTTACGTTGCTATTATAGAGATTAGAGAGTGGATTTTCCAGTTCTCTTTTGAAGTGGACAAAGAAGGAATGGAATACAAAATTGTTTTGTTTTACCAAGGCATTTTATTTTCCCAAATTTATTTTCTAAGAAAGAGGCATGTATACTAGAGATAAGTCCTGAAAATAATGATCAATACTGTGACAAAAATTTCTATAAAGTCACAAGATCCGTTATGGCATCCTACACTCATGCTGGCCTGTGGGACGTGAAGAGAATGTGATTAGAGATCATAGGGGGTGATGCAACTCTTTAATTTGAATGCTCTGTGAAGAGAACAGTTGAATGAAAGTCAAGATACTAGGCACTAGAGAGAGTGTTCTCCGTTTAGAAAATAGCTGATGAAAAGCATAATTATTCCATGGGCTGTGTGAAGTGGAAAAAAAATATGCAGGCAATGAAGAATGTTGGCATTTATAGGTGTATTGCGGGTGAATGGGAAGCAAAGGCACCAAACGTCATTTTTGTTAAGTTTAGCTTTTTCAAGGAAATATTACCTTCTTTGTACAATACATTTTGAAAGCCCTTGCTTTCTTATTAGTAACATAAGTTATATAAGCTAAGTGAATGACATTTTTATAGTGTAAAAAAAAAAAGAGGGGAGCTAAAATCATCTATAATGAAAAAATACCCTGTTATCTTTTCAGTTTTTTACAGGCACATATAGACATGCACAGGCACAGCATGTGTTTGAAAAGAATTCTTTTATATTTAGTGTTTCATGACTTTCTTTAAAAAAAACCAACACCTCATATCTTTAACATTTTTCTTTACCTACATGTTGTATCACATATTGGAGACAGGCCTAATATTTAATTGCATAATTTATTTTTGATTGTTCCATTTCTCTACTCATGTCCATTTGATTTATTACCAGTTTTCACTATTATGAAAAATGCTATGCCCTGTCTGGTGTGCTCAATGGTTAGAGCATCGGCCTGTGCACTGAAGGGTCGCAGGTTCAATACCCAGACAAAGGCACATACCTGGATTGCAGGTTCAATTCCCACCACAGTTGGGGCACATGCAGGAGGCAACCAATCAATGTGTCTCTCTCACATGGATGCTTCTCTCTCTCTCTCTCTCTCTCTCTCTCCCTCCCTCCCTCCCTCCCTCCCTCCCTCCCTGCCACTTTCTCTAAAAAGCAATGGAAAAAAGTATCCTCGGGTGAGGATTAACAAAAAATAAAGACATGCTGTGATGAATATACTTGTAGCTAAATCATAACATGTATTAATAATTTTTTTCTGAGGATAAATTCTTAGACCTAAAAATGTTGAGTCTAGGGATATATCCATTTTAAAGTCTTATACAAATTATCAAATTGTCCTTCAGAAATTGTACCTACCAGCTCCAGGTGAGAATTCCTACTTGCTTGTTTTAACCACAACTTTGACAGTGGTAGGCAGATATCATATTTTGGTTAGTTAATTAGAACATTTTCCATCCGTTTATAGGCCATTTGTAGTTCTTTTTTAAAAAATTGCCTTTTATTGTAATTCTGACCATTTTCCTTTCAGCTGTTAGGTCTTTTGATTTAGAGCTCTTTACCTATTAAATTATTAATGTTTTGTATGTTGTCTATTATTGCAAAAATATTTTTTGCTACTGTAGTTCCCTTTCTGTTCTGTATATATTTAAAAAATACTGTTATTATATATTTTTAAATAATAAAATCATCTTTTTCTTCATTATTTATGCCATAGTGCTTAGAAAGTTCAACTCTGCTCCAAGGTTATGTAATTATTTACTTACATTTTCTTCTAGCTCTTTTATAGTTTCATCTTTTTATCTTTAATGCTTTAATCCTTCTGGAATTTATTTTGGTGTATATGATGAGGTAAGGCTCTAACCTTTTTCCAAGTAGTTAACCAGTTATGTCAGCACTATCTACTGAGTAATTACCCCTTCCCCACTGATTTGACATGCTAACTTCATCTATTACTTTTGGCTGTTGATTTTCTTTGTTTACTGATTTACTGAAATGTTTTTTAGCTGTTTAACTATATGGCTTTATAATATGTTTGAATATATACTTAATAGATTCCCTGTTTTTAATGTTCCTTTTTTTTATACACTCATATAAACTTTAGAAGTGTTAGTCTCAAATTCTTAAAATATATATTTTGTTAGAAATTTTGTTTGAATTGCCTTAAATTTATAGATTTGTTTGAAGAGGATTTGACATCATTGTTATATTGTCACATGGCATGTCTCATTTCCCACCAAATTTTTAAAATCCCTTTATAATGCTTTGGTTATTTTCTTCATAGACACACACACACACACACGTTAATTTATACTTATTTATTTTACATACTTTAAAAAGCATGCCTTCTCTCTTTTTTATTAATTGCTTATAGCTGGTATATATAACATTTTTGCATATTTAATTTTTATTCATTCATCTTTGTACACATATAAATTCAATTAATTTTTCAGATTAAGATTGTAAAAATAAGCTTGTTTTTTCTGTAACTACTCACTCTTAAATTTTCATTTAGTCTTATTTCGGATTTGAAATAATGATGATGGCATATGCAAGTCATAAATTCACAGCACATTCTCTTCACTAGAGTAAATCGAATGAAACATCAATATGTAACATAATCATCCATTTTTTCAAAGTTGTGTTTTCAGATTTAAGAAACACGCATATTTACAGCATTTTAATATATTTGCACTTTAAAATAAAGTTATTTTCAATGCAAAATTTAAATAGCATTTTTATTCCTGAACTTAGTGTTTTTATTCCATGGCTTCAATGTCATTATCTTAGATGTGGTCATTTTCTTTACAATAAAATCTGTCACCATAGATAGCATGAGTACTGTTTCAACTTAATTACTCATAGTTCATTCTTTCTTCTACTTCTTAAAGACTACACTAGTCAGTCAGTACATACTCACTTAAGGAATGCAGAAAGTCTTAACTTCAGGAAGCATGGCTGTGGGTATTCTATTTTTTCCCCCCTCTCTGCTGGAGAAGAACACTTGAGAGTACCATTTCAGTTCCTTTAAAAATATCAGTAATTGACATGGCCAAGTAAATGTTCAAACCTTGACTCACTGGTAACTATAGCTGGTAAAGCAGAACTACCCCAGAACTCAGAATTCTAAAACTCATAATGAATGTATCTCCTTGGTTCGTACAGGAGACAATTGAGTACTACAGTTACTTGCAAGGACTGCATCCTATAACTAAATGGCCTAACATATAATTTCTTGTAAAAGCATTACAAAAGTATTTCATCTTAAGTAAACCATAAGAACTAGAACATCCAAGTTTTGGTCTTACAATTGTCATAATACTCTGGATAGTATAATGACAAAGTATAATGTACAAAGATGAATGAATTTTTATTCATTCATCTTTGTACACATATAAATTCAATTAATTTTTCAGATTAAGATTGTAAAAGACAATCTTAAAAAAATTTGAAATTTTTATGTTTTCCAAAATGGGATTTAATGATGTGAGATTAAATATAGACTCGTGCTCCTTTAAAGAATTTGTTTTAATGTTGGTTTAAAAAGATGCCAGCAGCAGTAGGTTACATATGCACATGTCACTTTATGATTGAAAGAACATTGTAGTTTTAATTTTGGAATCCAATATTCTCTCTCTAACTCTCTGACTATACACCTTACCTAGTGAATCTTATGAACGTGAGAATTAAGTTGTCATTATACTATCCAGAGTATTATGACAATTGTAAGACCAAAACTTAGATGTTCTAGTTGTTATGGTTTACTTAAGATGAAATACTTTTGTAATGCTTTTACAAGAAATTATATGTTAGGCCATTTAGTTATAGGATGCAGTCCTTGCAAGTAACTGTAGTACTCCATTGTCTCCTGTAGGAAACAAAGAGATACATTCATTATGAGTTTTAGAATTCTGAGTTCTGGGGTAGTTCTGCTTTACCAGCTATAGTTACAGAAAGTGAAATTGATTGTTTACACCTGGAGTTATGAAGATAAATTAGTATTTGTGTATGATACATGGAATTTATACTTAAAATAAATAAATAACTTTTTTTCATACCTGAATTTAATACATTTCCTGTGATGTGCATAAGTAAATGTTTCAATTTTTATTAGCATCTTAAGAACGCTCACATGTTAGTAAGTTATGGAGTTTTGTAAACCTTTGGCAGTTGTAAACTTTCTAGGGAGTATGTGAAAGAAAAGTTGTCTGTTTTTTTTAAAGGAAGGTTGTATAAACTTTTATCATGTTCTGAAAGATCAAATGGGTTTTGGTATTTTTGTTTTCTAGAATATTCTGAAGGATCTGGAAAAGAAAAAAGCTGATTTAAATACCATCACAGAGAGTAGTGCTGCCCTTCAGAACTTGGTCGAGGGCAGCGAGCCTGTTTTAGAAGAGAGGCTCTGTGTCCTCAACGCTGGGTGGAGCAGAGTACGCACCTGGACTGAGGATTGGTGCAATACCTTAATGGTATGTTTTGGGAAAAGTTAATGATGAAATCTTCTCTCCTTTAATTGTTTAAAAATGAATACAGCCCTGACCGGTTTGGTTCAGTGGATAGAGCGTCGGCCTGCGGACTGAAGGGTCCCAGGTTCGATTCTGGTCAAGGGCATGTACCTTGGTTGTGGGCACATCCCCAGTAGGGAGTGTGTAGGAGGCAGCTGATCAATGTTTCTCTCTCAGCAATGTTTCTAACTCTCTATCCCTCTGCCTTCCTCTCTGTAAAAAATTAATAAAATATATTTAAAAAATGAATACAACTTTGATTATATTTCCAAATTCTATTTTCTCTGTGTCACAATAATGTTTTGCTTGTGAATTAATTTCATTAGATTACATTTTATTTTTTTCTTTGAAAAGACAATAGCTAGAAAGAGTTTGAAATATTTCTATTAGGTAATAATAAGCATTTGTGATATATATGGAAGTATATACTTTAATATTTTAGTAAATGTACTTATTTGTTACATTTTAATGATTTATGGTTATATTTAATTATCATAAGCTACATATTATTAATAATCCTATATAGTAAAAGGGTAATATACAAATTGACCGAACAGTGGAACGACCGGTCACTATGATGTGCAATGACCACAAGGGGAGCGCCACTCAGCCATAAGCCGGGCTGATGGCGGTGGTGGGAGCCCCCAAGGGCTCCTGGACTGCTAAAGGGCACAGGCCCGGCTGAGGCGTTTCCCCCACCCCCCACCCCCATTCACAAATTCGCATTGGGCCTCTAATTTCTAATAATAGTGTACTAGTTAAGAGCACAGGCTCTGGCATCTGATGGCCTAAGTAAAAACTTTGACTAGTTGGGTGACATTGGTCAAGGTACTTAAATGCTCTCTAAGTCTTAGTTTTCTCATATGTAAAATGGGCATTATTATTATTTCTACCTCATACACCTCGTACAGTTTTTGTGATGATTATATGACATAAAACATGAAGTGCTCTTATATAAGTATGCCTAAAATAACCAATTTTAGATTTTATTATGATGATTATGATAATTGTTTAGTGTTATATGTTGTTAGTCTTTGGTTATACCACTACACTATTAATTACTTCATAGATATAGTTACCATCTAATGTTCCTCTTCTATTACCAATAAATATTATTAGTAGAAATTAGTATTTTGTTCTGACATATCATATATAGGACTATTCCAAAATTCAAAGAATTACTAGGTAATGGATAGAGACAAAATAAATTATTGTGTGTTTGAGAATTTATTTAAATCAGTTAGAATGTGTAGAGCATTGAAGGTCATGAGCTTACATTGTGATCTGTGAGATTCAAGTCCAGAGTTTACCCATAATTTATTATCCGCTTTAATTTTCCTATATAAAAATGGAAATAAAAGAACATACTGAAAAAGTTGTTACATGTTGAATAACAAATGTGAAATTCTTGGGTAATAGAATATGTTCTATATATATATATATATATATATATGTGGCTTTATCAACATTCTCATAACCCTTACTTCTGTATTTTTCAGTCTGTACCTTCCAATTCTCTTTTCAAGTAGTCTCTTCCTAGTCTTGTTAGAATATTGATTTACCTGCTTTATTGGGGCAAATAAGTCTGGTGCTTATCAATTCTTCTTACTTAAAATGCAGAACACTGCCAAAACATTTCTCATGTCATTACTAGTTCTCATTTTATTTGTCAACTGTTTCTCTATGTTATAGATTAATAATTTGTTTCCTTGTCTTCTAAACACTTTTAATAAATTTTTTACAGTTTCATTTATCCTATAAAACAGTTTCTAAAAGTTAATTTTATCTATGTCTCCACCCCTCTTTTTTTAAAAATTTTATTTTAAAATATATTTTATTGATTTTTTGACAGAGAGGAAAGGAGAGTGATAGAGAGTTAGAAATATCGATGAGAGAGAAACATAGATCAGCTGCCTCCTGCACATCTCCTACTGGGGATGTGCCCACAACCCAGGTACATGCCCTTGACCGGAATCGAACCTGGGACCCTTCAGTCTGCAGGCCAACGCTCTATCCACTGAGCCAAACCGGTTTCGGCTCTACCACTCTTTTTAAAAAAATTTTATTTTCTTGTTTAAAGTATTACAAATACTAGTACATATGTCTCCTTTTTCCCCCCATTGACCTTCCCCTGGCCTCCCCTAACCCCCCGGCACATGCCCTTACCCCACCCCTCCAGTGTCTTGTGTCCATTGATTATGCTTATATGCATGCATATAAATCCTTCGATTGATCTCTTACCCCCCCAAGCCCCCCCCTCTCCCGCCGCTGCAACACTCCCAGCCTTCCTGCTGTAATTTGACAGTCTGTTCGATGCTTCTCTGCCTCTGTATCTATCTTTTTGTTCATTAGGTTATAATGTTCTTTATTATCCATAAATTAGTGAGTTCATGTGGTATTTTCCAACCCTTTTTGATCAAGTTCTAAATTCTCACCTTAGTGCCAGCAATTTTGCCAATTTATTCAGCTTAATCAGTTTGATTTTGTTTTTGGATTTATTTGCTCGATCACATTTTATATCCTGCTTCAGGAAGTAGTACTGAGTGAGGTCTGTGCCAGATGTGATACTAAGTGCTGGTGACACCACAGTGAAAAGACACAGGACCTGCCCTCTAAGATGTTAGTCTATTGAACAGCAGACGCTTATTCAGTCCATGTTTTAATCATTCTTTTATGTTATTACTTTCTTAAATGAGTTTTAAACAAATATGATCAAGGAGGAAAATGAGATTATTTGCAATGTAAGAATGAAGAATAAGGGAGGCAAATAAAATGAGATTGAAAAGGACACTTTCAGTAAGGTGGAAACCCTTTAAATTCAGCATATAACGACCTCTTTGAAGGCTTTTTAAAGCTCTTTGAAGATTATCATGTTATATATTTCATATGGTTGTATCAACACTTTATTAATTCCCTTCCAGAGCCATCAGAATCAGCTAGAAATATTTGATGGAAACGTTGCTCATATAAGTACCTGGCTTTATCAAGCTGAAGCCCTATTGGATGAGATTGAAAAAAAACCAGCAAGTAAACAGGAAGAAGTTGTGAAGGTAGCAAAAGAGGAGCGGTCATACTTCTGGGGGTGGAAGGTTTTGCTGTAGTCTTTCTCTTGTGGAATGTGCCTAGTTGCCTGTGCACACATTCTCCCATTCATCAATGTGTATTTTTCGTGGGAGGACCTGAAGTCTTGAATGAGTCTTAATATGTGAACAGCTCTTACGCAAGTTGATTGTATTAAAATCTCTTCTTAGGAATCCCAGACATTTATTTAAACTGCCTTTAATACTGAGTTAATGTCGCACCCATGTTTGGTTTTGATTTTCCCCACGTGATAATGTGTGTTTCCTTACAATTAGCGTTTACTATCTGAGCTGGATGATGCCAGACTGCAAGTTGAGGATGTTCGCGATCAAGCCGTTGTTTTGATGAATGCTCGTGGAGGCTCGTGCAGGGAACTTGTAGAACCCAAATTAGCTGAGCTGAATAGAAACTTTGAAAAGGTGTCTCAACACATCGAAAGTGCCAATGTGAGTAATTATATTTTTATATAAGGCTATTTTTCATTTAATTATGCATCTAAATTATAGATAACCATGTGGTACAAGTAAATCATTTTAAAAGTAAATTTTTAAAAGTAAATTTGTCTTTGAATGGAGCATTTGTCCTTGAGAAATATGAACTTCGCTGAAGTTTGGCTGTCCCACTTCAAAGGCACGTCTACTGGCGAAAGGTAACGGAAGACTTTCTGTGGGACGTACCTGTACTAGGCGGTGGCCTTTCTCTCGGTCTGTGGCCATGGCAGGGATGGCTTTTGGTTCATGGCACTGTTTCCTACTGTGCTCATATGTGGTCTCAGAATCCTCTAAACAGCATTCGAGGCAGCCACAACCATTTGCACACTACTTCACATCCCTTGCTATGAGGTTGGAGAAAATGGGTAATTCAGAGAAGCTCAAATTGGTAAAATCATTGCTGTAAATGAGTGAAATTAAAGTCAATTCAAATAAATGCTGATTCCTTTTCTGACATTCCATCCCTCTGATTAATGACAGAAAGTCAAGTGAAGAATATCTTTTTAAAGAATAATTTCCCTTCCACAGCTGCTAATTGGCCAGGAACCATTATCATACCAATCTCTGGCCACCACTGAAGCACTTGAAGCTGATGTGCCTTTCTCTGACTTGGAAAAATTAGAAAGTGACATAGAATATATGTTAAAAGTTGTGGAAAAGCCCTTGGAATCCAGTAATGAAGATGAAAAGGTTGGTTCAGAATTTTTCAGACTATGATGTTCTTCTTTTTATTCTCTGCTAATTATAGTTTTACACCAATATTGTTTACCCAAATATCTGCCAAACATGATAGAACAGTCCAAAAATGATTTTCTGATGTGTCAATATAATTGATTTATGCAATGCTTAAAAAAATAGACATCACACTTTCTGACTAAAAATAATGTTATCTTAATGCTAAACTAGCTAGCATTCTTTGTTTTAACATCAAATATGAACTATTTTAAGAAAAACATGACTTTTTGTTGTATATAATTTAGATGAACATATCTTGAGTTATATCTTGTAGGTTGGTTTTCCTCTTTGGGAACTGATGGTAAGTGACCTTATATGCATTTTTTTTTGAGTAAATTTTTTCTTTCTAAACATTCAGATGGATGAGGAAAGAGCCCAAATTGAGGAAGTTCTACAAAGAGGAGAACAAATGTTACATCAACCTATGGAGGATAATAAAAAAGAAAAGATCCGTTTGCAGTTATTACTTTTGCACACAAGATACAACAAAACGAAGGTATTGTCATGGGGAGTGTCTGTCCCACTGAAATAATTCAGCCCTTGTCATTCAGATGTTTGATGCTGCATTCATGGACACCTCAAAACACACCATTTGGGATACTGTCTCATTCTCCTTTTTGGTGTGCATTGCTAAACATGTTTATACTTTTAGGTGGGGCAAGAGTCAAAGAAAATAGGAACATAAAACCTTATTATTGGGCATCTCTGTTGGATTTCTGATAATGTACTAAATCTTAAAAGGAACCTTTTTCTTTTAGAGTAGATTCCTCCTTCGGATCCATAGTTCATATGGAGGGGCCTGACCATGTCAAAAGATTTTCTAGTTTACAAATAACCAAATTTGTGAAGTTGATAAACTATGCTTTATATTCTAGAAAAGCTTCACTACCAGCTCCCTTTCCAATGGCCACATTCCCAGCCACATTGTAAATGTGCTGGTGTCCCCAGAGGTCTGTTCTTGTTACAAATAAATGCAGAACTCTAGGTTCAACATCTTGTTATTGACTCCATGATTTTAGTCTTGAGTTTCGGTTTCATTTAGGAATTGTAACCATTTTCAGGGTCACTAACTCAGTGAACATGTATTTGTGATCATTTTGCTATACTTTTGAATTTACAGAGGAATATCATTTTTCAGAAGTTCAAATAGGGATACAGTGAAACTATGAAGCTACCTTAATTCATGAGTAGATGAACTATGGCTATTTGCAAGTAGTAGCCAGCATTTATTAAATTGTACCCATCTACATGTAAAAGACTTCAACTCCTTAAGGACTAGTGAGTGGCCCATCCCCTTTGTTATTTTGAAAGTTCTGATTAGAGGATACAGAAAATAGAATTATTAGGGCAGATAAGTAGTCCACTCAGTTTTGCTTAGTTTTGTCTGAGGATCTATTATTTGTCTTATGTAGGATATTCATGTTCTGTAATATTGTTCTCCAAGGTTAAGATTATATATTGAATTACCTGTATGTTATTTTAATCAAAACCCCTATTGAATTTCTTGTTATGTTATAAATACATATTTAACTTAGTTACATTTTTAACAGTGAGGCCCTGAGGTCTTTAATATAATTGTGAGATTTTAAAAATGGGTGAAATAATAATGGTATTAAAATGTTTTATTTCATATGGAAGTTTATGATTTGCAGCATATTCTCCTGTCCTCAGTAACCCAGGAAAGAACCTGTTATGCTTTCCTGTTTGCTAATTGAGTTTAGATGGCATTGGTCTTAAAGTGAAACATTTCTGTTTAAGAGTAGGCTGCAAACAAAAGTTAGAATAGAGATTGTTAAGGGTTTATATAGCAAAGCAGGGCAAAAATATAAAAAATCAAAACATAGTTTTAAAAAATTTGGTTCCGAGTATTGTACTTATCTGCAAAATAGTCTTGTGCTTTTTTCAATTCATTGTGGGGATATTTTAAGAGATGTACATGATTATTTTTAATGATTTTACAGGCAATTCCTATTCAACAGAAGACAACAGGCCAACTGGCTTCCGGAATTAAATCATCACTTCTCCCTACAGATTATTTGGTTGAAATTAACAAGGTTTTACTTTCTATGGATGATGCTGAGTTATCACTTAATACTCCAGAGCTAAGCACTGCTGTGTATGAAGACTTCTCTTTTCAAGAAGATGCTCTGAAGGTAAATCTCCAGGCAGGGCATTGGAATAGCTGCAGTTAATGTAGAAATAATGCAAGGAATTTGTTGTTGTGCCTACCTAGATGATCTGTAGCTTTTAAAACTTAGGCCAAGGAATTAATAATGTGTATGAATAATAAACCTTTCCTGTATTCACCAAGGAAATACTCTAAAAATTTAATTTTTTAAAAGTAGATATGGATTGTTAGTATGCAGTTACTTCTTTCCATCATTAGAGATGTTTTTTAATCAAACACCTGCACAAAACATATTGCTTTCTTATAAACTGGACTGCCAGTTTGGTTATGAAATGTCAGCATTAATCTTGCCACCTATAATGATTTAACATTGACCAATGGTTGGGGTATGGGATGGCATGTTGATTGTAAGTTAATTAGCGATCTAGAAGTTTTCAGTTAACTCACAAAACTATTAAATATAATTAAGGCTTGTTCATATAATCTGATTATACTTAAAGTAGAGGCCCAGTACACGAAATTGTGCACTTAGATGGGGTACCTCAGCTCGGCCTTCTCCCTCTTGCAGTTTGGGAGCTCTTGGACATCCTTAGTGCTGCTGCAAAGGTGGGAGAGGCTTCTGCCACCGCCGCTGCACTTGCCAGTCTTGAGCCCGGCTCAGGGCTTCTGGCTGAGTAGCGCTCCCCCTGTGGGAGCACACTGACCACCAAGGGGCAGCTCCTGCATTGAGCATCTGCCCCCTGGTGGTCAGTGCGCATTATAGTGACCGGTCATTCCACTGTTTGGTCTATTTGCATATTAGCCTTTTATTATATAGGTTATAAGGTCACAATAAAATTGCTGATAGATTTGATGGCTTTGATTGACAGCTCATTTCTGTCATTTAAACTAGCATTATTATATATATGAAAATATAAATGATTTTAGCTTCAAACACTTCATTACCTTTATAGAATATTATTGAATTTTTTAAATATCTGGACAAATGCCACATGGAACATCTGTTAGGATTTTTTTCTCACCGTTGGGATATCATGTAGTGTTCCTAACACTTTGGTCAATACAGGGTATTATTTTTTTTTTAAAGTTTTCAGTTTTAATTAGCAAAAATTATTATATCTCATTATCTATTAAATAAGTATTATACCATATACATTTCATCTGTGATTTCATTCTTTTTATCTCTGCTGGATTTTGTGACTGTTTGGCAATATATTTGTAGAATATCAAAGACCAACTGGACAAACTTGGAGAGCAGATCGCAGTCATTCACGAGGAACAACCAGATGTTATCCTCGAAGCTTCTGTACCTGAAGTCATGCAGATCCGGGATATGCTAACTCAACTGGATGCAAAATGGGACAGAATTAATAGAATGTATGATGATCGTAAAGGGTATGTATAAATTAAGTTAAAATTTAATTTAAAAAAACCCTATAAGCTCATGAGCCATGACAAAGGTCACATTACATTAAGATTAACGAAAGTATGTTTCACATCCCTGAAGAGGCCCTGTTTAATAAATTGTGATGAGTGTAGTTCCTTAAAGGAAGAGGAAAGAGATTACATACAGGCGATCATTTGCAACATAATATCTTAATAATTAAAGGAAGCACCTTTAATTTTTAATATCTAAATAGTGTCCATTTTCTTTAAAATAATTTAAGAGTTTTCATTAATGTTCACTTTCCCAACATGTTGATGATTGATGTGAGTGAGAGACAGGTACAGATAATTGGAATCCATATATAACCACAAACTCTTTAAAAATAACCTGTTAAATAAAATGATTTTGAGCCTTCTTCTTTCTAGATTTTGACCAGGCCTATTAATAGGTGGGAAAAAAAATGAGAAGATTTTTGGCAGTAACCAGATATGTAGTAGAAAGGCAGATAGACAAATAAGATGTGAAATAGCCCAATATGAAGTACCATGTAAGAGAAAGTTAACACAGAAAAATACATTGGAAAACTTTAGAGACATATACACAAAAATTAGGCATCATGGTCTTCATCTTTTTTGTTTTGTTTTGTTTTGTTTTGTTTTAGCCTACATATTCTATGTGATTATATAATCCTTGAAAAGATAACTTTCAATGGCCTTTTGATATATTTCTTTATGGATTTTTAAATTCAGATGTATACATTTAGAGAATATTGTTTTAAGTATACCTTTATGCATACTTCTATTTAATTAGACTTGTTTATTAGATAAAGATTAAATTGTTAAAAGTAATAACATCTTAAGGCTCTGCATTGCATTATGAGATTGGTTATTATACTCCTGCCAACAGTATATGTGAAAGTTAACTGAACCCTTGTTAACTATGAAAGGTTGGTTGTTGTTTTTTAAGACCTTTGCCAATTGTATAGTGAAGATTGCATCTCAATAGATTTTCACTTCTTTATCAGCGACATTTCAAAATCCTTACATATGTTTATTGGCCCCAGTGTTATTTCTTCTGTCAATTGTTAGGTCATGTCTTTGCTCATTTTTCTACTATGGGATTACTATTTACTGATTAATTTGTAAGAGCTTTTTTCTACATTAAGGATATTACCTATTCATATTTCTTGTTTATTGCTAAGTCCCAGGTTTTCATATGCCGTCTAATTTTGTTAACGGTATTTTTTTGATGTATAGGTTTAATTTTATATAATTATATCTTATGAGTCTTTTTCCTTTGTGATTTTGGTTTGTTTATATGCATGCAAATTACTTTTTGTGTGATATTAGTTAAATATTTATGTATCATTTAAAAACAATTTTGTTTGATTTAAAATTAACATTTAATAACTAAGCCACCTGAATTTTGTTTTAAATATGTTTTGTGTTAAGGCTATAGGTGGGTGGTTCTATATACTGACTCTTCAGTATCAAGCCTAGAGACCCAGGTAGGCAATGGTAACATTGTCAGAGACCAGGAACTTAGGTGGCGAATGTTTTGGGGGAAAGATATCAATGCCAGTTGCAATATTAGAGAAAGCAAACTTGTGTGTTTCTAGATTAAGACTTGGACTTTGCGTCCTTTGACTCTCTGGGAGTCCACAGACCTTCACAATTCCATACTGCCTCCCATATGAACTGACCGTATTCAAAAAGGAGGCGATGACTTAGTGAATCCTAGTTGAACATCTTTCTCTCTCTCTCTCTTTCTCTCTCTCTCTCATTTAATCTATGGCTATACTGCTTAGATTTATTTGGTTTACTGTTTATATTCTCAGAGTCTTTAGATCTTTGGAGCAGCCTTTCTAGCAACATTTTCTCTTTATTATTGCAACATCCCCAAAGTTGAAATTTGTGGTTGTTATTTAGTGACTGCACATTTTTACCAAAGTTGATAAAGATTGTTTTAATATTTTCTCATAGTATTTTGTTTGAAGTGCTCTTAATTTTGTCATGCCCAATAGAATGTTGCTTCCCTGTGGGCACTTAACAAATATTAACTACATTTTCAAAATGATGTTCATGGGAGAAGGAAAAATAAACATTATTTTAGAGTTAGAGATGTCAGGGATCATTTTATTATTTTTTAAAATAGTAATATCTTTTTATTATAGAAAGTAAAATTTTATTAATATTAAAATCTCAGAGGTATCTTCTAAGCTTTCTCAGCACCACTTACGGAAATGAAAAGGCAAAAGGAAAGTGTTTAGAATCTGACTGCAGTAAAACTTAAACTTTTTCATACTTATTTTATATGTTCCAAATACGACTAGCACTGGACTTTGACTTTATCTTATTTCTAAAGGAGAGAGGATTAAATGGGCAACTCAGTAGTACTTTGTCTCAGTGCCTAACCTGGGCTTTGCAGGCACTTCCATACTGTACTGTGGAGTAGTCATCGCACAGAGGGTGTTAGTCTGCTAGAGCTACCTTAATAAGACCACAGGTTGGGTGGCTTACTCAACATACATTTATTGTCTCTCCCTTCTGGAGGCTGTAACTCCAAGATCAAGGTTCCAGCAGGGTTAGTTTGTGTTGAGGCCTCTCTTACTGGCTTGCAGATGGCTACCTTCTCCCTGTATCCTTCATCGCCTTTTCTCTCTGCTCTCTCGGACACAAAAAAAGATCTGTGGTGTCTCTTCCTCTTCTTCTTAGGACACCAGTTGTGTGGGATTAGGGCCCCACCCTTATGACCTCATTTTAAAAGTTACCTTCCTTGAAGGCCCTATCTCTAAATAGTCACTTTGGGGGTTAGGGCTTCAACACATGAGTTTTGGGGTCACAATTCAGTCCATCACACAGAGAATAAGGGAGGGAAAGGAAATTTAGGAGTGTTTTGGCGTTTTGTTCTACCTGAGAAGTAAAACACCATAATTTTTTCCAAAGAGAATAGAGTAATTAATCATATTTGACATTTCATGGTATTTGAAATGTTAAGTGTTTAAAGTTGGGTGGGTTAACTGCCTGTAGCTAATCCATCTTGCTTTTCCAAGCTGGAGAAGGCTGTCTTTTCAGTTAATAAGCTGCCTAGTATGTGGGTGTATGTGTGCAGGCATGTGTGTGAGAGAAAGGGGGGTAGGATGGTGCTTGCGCCGATTTCTTGGTACAATACATGTTTCTCTAAAAGGAATCATTAACTGTAATCCATTATGAAAACTGATCCTAGAGCAGTGAGTTGTGAATTCGCTGATTTTGGAGCATTCTGTTTAAATGAGATTTGAATTTGTTTAGAAAAATTGCTTCAAAGCAGTTCTGGAAAGTTTGGAAACCTATTTTATGTTAATTTTTATCCTCTAGTTATTTTGACAGGACTATGGAAGAATGGAGACAGTTCCACTGTGACCTTAATGACCTCACCCAGTGGACAACTGAAGCTGAAGAGTTACTGGCTGACACCTTGGCTCCAGATGGTGGCCTGGACCTAGAGAAAGCCAGAGTCCACCAGGAGGTGAGTGCTCTCCATCACAGGATGCAGATCTGCTAAGAAGGTGCCATATTCCTTTTTTTTTTTTTAATTTCAGAGAGGAAGGGAGAGGGAGAGAGAGATAGAAACATCAATGATGTGAGAGAATCATTAATCAGCTGCCTCCTGCATGCCCCCCACTGGGGATTTGAGCCCGAAACCCTGGCATGTGCCCTGCTCAGGAATCATCGAACCGTGACCTCCTGATTCATAGGTCGATGCTGAACCACTGAGCCACGCCGGCTGGGCCATATTCTTTTAGTATGTGGCATTTAAGATGTATTTCGAAAATTAGAGCTAAATATATGAATTTTTAGGCGCATTACAACCTGTAATTTTTGTTCCACATCTAGTTTTTTGGTCATAAAGGCTTAAGAAACATTATTTACATTTTTAATTAGAATTTCAATGAAATTTAATTAAAATACTCTTTAGTGGCTAATATGAAAAAAAAATTATTAAAAAAAATTATATTTATGCCCGGCCAGTGTGGCTCAGTGATTGAGGGTCGACTTATGAACGGTTCGATTCCCAGTCAGGGCACATGCCTGGGTTGCAGGCTGGGTCCCCGGTGTGGGGCATGCAGGAGGCAGTCATCAATGATTCTCTCTCATCATTGATGCTTCTTTCTCTCTCTCCCTCTCCCTTCCTCTCTGAAATCAATAAAAATATATTTAAAAATTTTTTAAAAATTATATTTAGAATAACATTTGTAAAATTTTGTACCCAAGACTAAGGCAGAAAGATATCAGCATGCCTCACCTCTGTTTTCTGTACTTAACACTTAGGCATCTTATTTCCACTTTGTATTATTGATAATTATTATAAAAGTAAATTATTCATGACCTACATCAGGGCAGCTGCTCATGTAAGTCTAATTCAGTTTTGGAAAATATAACAGTAGCAAAATCAGTTCTGCTGATAACAGTAGGTCTTTAAAAATAAGGTCGAAAAGCAAGCAAAATTTCAATTTACCATTGTTAAAATATTTTCTCTTTTATTATATTTTAAGAACGTATTTTATGTAGGAAGTTCATGAGGCATTAACAAATACATTTATTTTTCTCATATACATGTTAATGCATTTTTCTTATTTTTTGAGATATAGATGAGTGCTTACATTTAACTTTAAAATATTCTCTTTAAATCTGTTGCTTAAAAATGTAGAGACCAGTGAAGCAATGTCTCCAGAAAATGCACATTGAGGTTTACCTATATGTGGTAGGACATAAGGGCATATGGGTTTATTTTTCCTTTTGAGAGATGCTTTCAAGCACATATTTGGAAAAAGATAAGCAATCCAATTTAATCAAACCTGATTGATGCTTACGCCTCAGTTGTAAACAGCTGCTATTTATCTGTCCTGTTTCACTGTATGACATTCACAAGCGTGGGTGAGATTTCAAAATGGGTTTTGTTTAGTGTGTTTATTGAAATTTAATGAAAGTGTTTTTAAATGCCCTTTTCATGAACATAATGTATCCTCCCAGGACTTTATTCCTCTAAAACTTAAATTGATGCCCGGGAACCTGGGGGATCCCTTGCATCAGAACATCTTAATTTAGTGGCAGAATTCATCTTGGGTTGTGCTCTGTTGTAGGAACTTGAAGAGGGGATCAACAGTCACCAGCCCAGTTTTGCAGCACTAAACAGAACTGGGGACGGGATTGTCCAGAGACTCTCCCCCACAGATGGGAGCTTCTTAAAAGAAAAGCTGGCAGGTCTAAACCAACGTTGGGGTGCCATCATCGCAGAAGTGAAGGATCGGCAGCCAAGGTGACTGAGCCTCAATAAGTTAAGGGCGCAGGGGTAGACATTTTGGGCAGGCCCTTTTTAAGATACAATCAGATGAGTTCAAAATTCTCTTATTGTCTGATATCACAGTAGGCGCTTTACTGACATTTAAGACCTGCACTGTCCATGTTCTGCATTTTAGAACCCTTTTCCTAACTGAATTTTCAGGCTGTCCATGAGGCCCCACTTTTCTATGCAGTTGTGATACATGTAAAAATTGCCTTGATCTTTTTATTTCTGACTGTTTATTGTGATATGGTGACCATGTGACAGGAACTGGAAGTAGTTGAAAGAACACTCCGGACTTCCAGTCTGAAGCTCTGGGTTCAGGGTCAGGCTTCTCGCTTGCTCATTTCCTGACTGGACCTTGGGATCTTCATTAGTAATCCTCTCACTCAGTCGTTCTTAGTCACAGGATGTGCTGTGCTCATATATATGTCAGTGCTTGGTAAATAATACCGCTCCTCTTCCAGGTAATAGGATACATATGATGTATTGTTGTTTGTTCTTAGGTCAAATTATGTTCAATGCCCCAGATTTTATTAGGGTATCTTCTGGTTGTAAACACTTTACCAGTGACTATAAAGTTCAATATTATATGTGTGTTATATATTACTTTAAAATTACTTGAAGTTATTTTCCTGAGATGGTTAATAACTAATGGATAATTTCTACTTTGCTTAATACATTCTGTCTCATAAATGACCTTTTTTTAGGTTAAAAATTTCCAGATATTTTTTTCTGCTAATTTTAACTCTGTAGATGATTTATTATTTTAGAACTATGCTAATATTTTGTTAAAGGCCAACCTAATACCTTTTTAAGTCCAAGACAGGCATACTTTGGAGATATGGTGGGTTCGGATCCAGACCACTATTATAAATCAATTATCACAATAAAGCAAGCCACACATATTTTTTGGTTTCCCACTGCATATAAAAGTTATGTTTAAGCTATACTGTAGTCTATTAAATGTGCAGTAGCATTTTGTCTAAACAACCCATTATATACCTTAATTCAAAAATACTTTATTGCTAAAAAATGCTATCCAAATGCTTCAATGAGTCATAATCTTTTTGCTGGCTGAGGGACTTACCTTCAATTTGTAAGAAAATGCAAAATCTGTCAAACACAGTAAAGTGAAACACAATAAAGTGAGGTGTGCCTATATTATAACATAAAATATTCAAGTATGACTATTTGGCCTTTGGCTGCTTTTTATAAAATAGCATCTATCATTTTGTGTGTTTTGGTAAGAAGTAATAGTAGTTTGTGTGTCTTGGTTGAGAGCTTGCCATGTAGCAGAGATAGCGTTTGGCACCTTGTACACCATGCCCCATTTAATCTTCACCACTATCCACTAGGACAGGGGTGGGGAACCGTTTCTCTGCCAAAGGCCATTTGGATATTTATAACATCATTTACGGGCCATGCAAAATTATTAACTTAAAAATAAGCCTGCTATATTTGGTCAAATATTTAATTAACTCACCCCTAATGCCTTGGCAGGGCCAGACCAAAGGATTTCTCGGGCCTTATACCACCAAGGGCATGTTGTACAGCTTTAGAAACTGAGGCTCAGAGAGGTGAGGTCCAAGGTCTCACACAAAGTTATTGATGGAGCTAACTTATGCTCTCAAATACAGTGCTGTACAAACTTGGGAAGGCCACAGACTTCTGTAGCTGAGTTTTCTCTCTGTAAATGAGAACTCTGATATTTTCTTAGAGGAGTGTCCTAAGGATTAAATAAGAAGAGTGTTTATGAAAAGCATATGTCCTGACTATTCATAGTAAACACACAAAAGATCTCATTCTTTTAATAGGAAGTTAATATAGACTTGATCTCCAGGCATGTGTTTGTTGAATTTTGCCAACGATTGATTGATTTAATCCATATTTATTGAGCCCTGTGTTTATCACTGGGGATACAAATATGACTAAGAACTCAGAGACTAATAATAAGAATATATATATATATATATATATATATATATATATATAGTTTTTATTTTAAAAAATATATTTTTATTGATTTCAGCGAGGAAGGGAGAAGAGAGAGATAGAAACATCATGAGAGAGAATATTTGATCAGCTGCCTCCTGCATGCCCCCTACTGGGGATCGAGCCTGCAACCCGGGCATGTGCCCTTGAATGGAATCAAACCTGGGACCCTTCAGTCCCCAGGCTGAATCTCTATCAACTGAGCCAAACCGACTAGGGCAAGAAGAAAATATTTTAAGGAAAAAATGCTATGTTTTGATGAAGATGCAGTGTTGTTGCAGAGGTGGGGTGATGGGCCATGGAATTTAGGCATCACAGGGAAAGGATTGTGAAACTGAGCTTTGAGGCATTTATAGCAATTTCCCATAAATTCCTCCTGGGGAGGGCCTTCTAAGGAAAAAATGTAGAACAGGTAAGGTGGGAGGGAAGCATGAAACAGTATGGATAGGTGAGAGACCTGCCAAGGTTAGGTGGAGAGGTAGGTTCAGGGACCAGGGCCAGGATTGGAAGCTGAGGTTCTTAGGATCTTCTATGTCATGCCCATGAGTTTTCATGGGGAATCTCTCTAGCATGAAAATTATCTATCTGTCAGGTCTTCTAAAAGAAAAGGATGTACCTGCTGGCATGGTATTAGCAACAATGCCGAAATTCTAAAGTTTTTCAAATGGATCTCTGTGGGGTGTGCTAATTATTGTTTCCAGAACTAATCAGTTGAAGCCATTACTTATTTTACTCATTTTTTTGGAAAAGAATAATGCACCTCTTCTCCAACATCTGATATTTTAACTAAAATGCTTTTATAAATTCATGGTTTAACTCCACTTCAATTAGTCATTTATCTTAAACTAGAGGCCCAGTGCACAAAGTTTGTGCACTGTGTGTGTGTGTGTGTGTGTGTGTGTCCCTCAGCCCAGCCTGCACCCTCTCCAATCTGGGACTCCTTAGGGGATGTCCAGCTGCCAGTTTAGGCCCACAGGTATCGGGCCTAAACAAGCAGTCAGACATCCCTCTCACAATCTGGGACTGCTGGCTCCCAACTGCTTGCCTGCCTGCCTGCCTGCCTGATCACCCCGTAACCACTCCCCTGCCAGCCTGATTGACACCTAACTACTCCCCTGCCAGCTCGATCACCCTCAACTGCCCTCCCCTGCAGGCCTGGTCCCCCCCAACTGCCATCCCTCCCGTGCAGGCCCCGTTGCCCCCAACTGCCCTCCCCTGCTGGCCATCTTGTGGTGGCCATCTTGTGATGACATGGGTGCAGCCATCTTGTGACCACATGGGGGCGGCCATCTTGTGCAAGGGCATGATGGTCAATTTGCATATTACCTCTTTATTATATAGGATTAGAGCCATGTTGGCACTTTAAGAGCTTAGATGTGTACTGTTATCATAGTAATCAAGAAAGTACACACTTCAATCTGTTTTGTATTGAATGCTGGTAGTTAAATAATTGCACAGGTCAGCAGCTCACAGTGTTATTTCTTAATGAGCAATTGTTGTCTACTGTTTGAACATGAATTTAAAGCTTGTTTTTATTCATAGGGATAACATTTAAAATGTAGATTATATTTAGCTAGTTTGCAGATGAAAATTTTGTGACTCAAATATGCAGTATTGAAATAACTTGCTATTTTCCTTCATAGATATATTTTCAAAATACTAAATTAGTCATGATTATGAAACATGAAACATTTAAATGCCAGCTTATTTTTTTGAAATACAAGTCTATAATAGTATTTTAGGTATTTCTAAAGTTGTTATTTTAGTGAAATACTCTTTGATACAGAGGGTAAATTACCTGTTTTGGTATTTTTAGTCTTTACAATTAGTGCTGTTGCTTGATTTTTTTGTTTTTAATTTTGAAGCAGTATTCTCTCCTAATGGATATTTAAATTTGAAAACTTTTGATTTTCATTAGTTTTTAATTATTAAAATACCCTCTTTCAAATATTACTGATTCTCTACTAAATATATAAGTATTTATTTATCATTTTTATCATATATATATATATATATATATATATATATATATATGGCATTATGGTTTTTTTGTGGTTGAAATGACAAAATTATAGCCATAAAAATATAAATGATACAATATAATTTACTAAAAAATTGCATTCTATTTTTAAATCATCAGCTATAAAAATAATGGTACCACCCTCAAGCTCTGAATAGCTTTCAAACCCGTTCTTAAAAATAAATAATCTTGTTTGTCATATGGGTTCTAATCTTATTCTCATTTTCTGACACATGGTTTATATACTTATAAATGTTATTCTTATATTTAAATGATCTAATTAAGGCAGTTCCTTTTTTTATATTCATAATGCCTATTTGTGTTCTTATGTCCTTTAAAACTTTTCTTTATTTTCTAGATCTCTTTTATGACTTGGCTATATTAAAAACCAACTAAATTTCCATTTTCTAATACTTGTAAAAAAATTCCATTCTCAGTATCTATTTTTTCTTTCTTATGAATAAAGTGGGATAATAGTTGCCACCTAATGTGAACAATATGTCATATAATGAAGTCTTTCTGTCTCTATGAAGTAATTATGTGCTTTTTCTTACAATTTTAGATCAAGACACTTTTCATGGTTTTTAAAAAGTCCATTATGTTAAACAGTGGTATCTAGCTTAAAAAATTTCAATATAATTTTCACGATGAGAGAAAATAACAGTCTTTAATGTCAATGTTTTTGAATTTAATGAAGAATTCTTCTTACATTGTCAAATAATCTTTGGTATTGCATAATATATACATTATTATTGACACATTAAAAATGTATTAAAATAATTATCAAGAGTTATTTCATTTGTGGTTTATTTAGTGCAGATATGCAAAGTAAATGTGTGATGTTCTGCTTAATTGGATAATTTTTCTCAATATTTTTCAATAATATATTCTTTTAGGCTAAAAGGAGAAAGCAAGCAAGTGATGGAATATAGAAAGAGACTAGACGAGATTATCTGTTGGTTAACAAAAGCAGAGAATGCTGTGCAAAAGAGATCCACCACCGAGCTGGAAGAAAACCGGAAAGAATTAACAGTAAGTGGCTTGTCTCTACATTTGCCAATACTTTTTTGATGCATGAACAATTACACTAAAAGTAAGATAAAATATTAGAAGAAGAAAAGGTAAGAAACTTTGTACTTTGTGGTATAGCTGGTGAACTTTAAAGAGGACTATCTTTGTCTTTTCTTCTAAAGAGCAGCTGTATTTTGTTCTTGCAGAGGTAAGGCGTCTCTCATAAAAATGATAAATCCTGTGGTCTCAGTATTAGACCTAAGGTTTTTAGGATATCTTAAACAGACATTGTCATTGTAGAATAAATTATTGCTTTGAAGTAAAGTTTTTGCTTTCAGATTTAGAAGATAATTGCTAATTACTAGCTATAAAGTTGAGTTTTGTAGAAACAACTCTAAGTGACTTGAGAGTAACTCACGGAGGGTTACTCTAGACTCAGTGTCATGGTTGTATTAATAAAATTTTTTTCTGTTTATCTACAACCTACAAGGATTGTTTATAGTTGTTTATTTATACTATGTATAAAATACATAAAGATATATAAATAAATATACTCAAATAGCCATAAATTTTATATTTTTTTGTGTTAAGAATTGAAAGACTTATTGCAGAACATAAGCATACTGTGCTCATATTTTTATTTTAAAAAAGAAGAAATTGGGTGTGTATGTGGATGAACACACAGGCATGCATCAAAGTATGCCTAAAAGGATGCCCACTAATTTGAAGAGATTTTGTCTAAAGGAGTAAGATTGAGGCGTTTTGGGAAACTATTAGTAACAACAACAAAAATTATGTTGGAAACAATTATTAAGTTTACTTTTCAAAATGTGACATCAAATAGCGAACAAACTTGTTTCTGTTTTAACTACAAATTTCATTCATTTTCTTGGAACATCCCTTCTGTAAACAATTTGGGGGCCGTCACAAAGGGCTGGACAGTACAATAGGGTCGATAGAGATGAGGTAGAGAGAGGTGCATACAAGGCTCCTGCTGGCTTTTTATTTTGTTTTGGCCTTTCATTGGAACAGACATCATTTTCATCATCTAAGAACAGAATGTTAAGTTATCAGTGTAGATATGAGGATATGGCCCTATTATAAGACAGGGTGGCGGTGGGAGCACCCAAGTACACATTGCAGGTGGGTGGTCATTCCCATACCAATTACAATTTGTTGACATGTGTTCAAGCTTCTTATAAGTTTATTGTCTACTTAAGAAATTAAAAATTCACATCTGTAAAATACCCAAAGTATGTTAGTTTCTAATACAGTTCTTGAACTTTCTCTAGTATGACAACCTTCTAATCATGCCTCTCTTCTGACACCTTTAGGACTTAAACCAGGAGATGGACATACAAGCTGAGAAACTCAAATGGCTGAATAGAACTGAACTGGAAATGCTTTCAGATAAAAGCCTGAGTTTACATGAAAGAGAAAAGATTTCAGAAAGCTTAAGAACTGTAAATTCAACCTGGAATAAGGTGTGCATTAAGAATTACTGTGGCGCCTTTCTAAGTAACTTTATCCTAGACTTCACCGATTTTACTGTATGTAGGTGAATTATGAATGTCCAAAAACAAGCAGTGCTGACTGTGCAGAGAATTCCAGCAAACACACTTTGGGAAATACTATTCTGGGATATTTCATTCATTCATGCAATCATTCACTCACTGAATAGGTTTTAACTGGACTCTCACTTTATGCCAGTCACCATTGTAATACAGCAAAGAGTATGTCACTCCTTCTAATCCAAAGAGTTTATTGTGGGGAGACAAGTTGCTAAGCAATTATAACATTGAGGGATCCATAGGGATATAAAAGTAGGGCATATGACCTGGCCTTAGGGGGTAACTGTGGATGGTTTTTTGGAGGAGATAATTTCCAAGCTAATTTGTAAAGGATGAATAAGAATTGGACAGATGAATAATGGGGGAAAAGGCATTGCAGAGAGAACAGCAGCAAGTGAAATGGTCTAGAAGAGACAGAGAATGAGCACAATGCACTTGGGTCCTGGAAGTCTCTCAGTATGAAGTGAAGGATGAGTGATGCTTTCAAACATTAGATCCTGGAGGCCGCACCATGCATCACAAAGAATTTAAGCTGTGTCTTGAGAACAGTTCATCACTTTGAGAGCAGTGGGCAGCTATTGAAGGTGGTTAAGCAGGAGAATGTTACCTTTTGAAAGCTCACTATAGCTGAACTATAGAGATGAAGTGATCCTAGGATGGATGTCCTTAGGATATCAGGAAGTCAAGTAACTCCTCTTAGCAAAACCTATGATCAGATCAGGATAACTGATCTGGAACGATCAATTAGTCATTAGCTTTGTCAAGGAGGCTTCAGGGAGACACATGATGACTTCAGATTTGGACATGTCTGAATATCCAGTTGCCAGAGGGAGCCAGACTGAAGATATATTTTTGGGAGTTCTTGGCATCTTTAACTCTGTATGGTAGATGTAACCATTAGAAACCAGGACCCAGGGAGAGAAGCCTGAGTCAATGGTAGAAAGACTAAAAAACCTACCCTTTAGAATGTTAGCATTTGATGGATGGGCAGAGGAGAATGAGCTGGTGAAGGACACTTAGAAGGTCAGAGAGAGGTGGGAAGAAAGTCAGGAGTACAGACTATTCAGAGTTCAAGGAGGGGAAGTGACAGCATTAAATGTTTCAAAGGGCCAGGGCAGCTAAGGACTGGATGGCGTTCTTTTTTTAAGAGTATATATTTTTATTGATTTCAGAGAGGAAGGGAGAAGGAGAGAGAGATAGAAGCATCAGTGGTGAGAGAGAATCATTGATCGGCAGACTCCTGCACACCCCCTACTGGGGATTGAGCCTGAGACCAGGGCATGTGCCCTGACTGGGAATGGAACCATGATCTGGTTCATAGGTCGATGCTCAACCACTGAGTCACAATGGCTGGGCTGGATGGCATTCTTGATAGTAATGTTGGTGGAGTAGGTACTTAAGCAAGGCTGCAGTGGATAGCAAAGCTATCATGTAGAATGACACTTTCTCTTTGGGAAACATAATCATCTTTATTTATATGGTACTCTTCTCTTTCCATTTGGCCGGATGCTATAGGTATGCAGAGACGTGCCGAGTGCACTGAAGGAATGCGTCCCGGAGCCCTGTTCTGTTTCTCAGTCAAGAACTGCTGGTAAGATACAGTTTATTCCTTAACCATTTTTATAAAAATAGCAAAATATTATGAATGTGAGCATCATATATGAATTAGAGAAAACTTTAAACTGGAAAACACAATGCAGTTGTGATTTGTTATTCTATTTTCAGTTATTTGAAAGGAACATCTTCTTTAAACCCAACACATACTTGACTGCAAAGCATGTATGAGAGATAACATTTTTGCCTTTCCTGGGACCAGAGTGGGACCTGGTCCCTAAGAGAGCCTGGGAAGGGAAGGGAAGGGACAAGGTGGGGAAACTGAGGACATGTGGTTTTTTCAGAAAGTCAGCAATAGCCATTACGCAACATGCCCTGTGTGGGGTGTAACTGCATGCAGATCATGACTGAGAACAAAGGATTAGGTATCCTGGAACCAGGCGGGAGATGGGGTTTTAGAAGAGTTCTCCATCCCAAGGAGGCTATTTACTGATAGATGCTGATGATCACTTAGGTGTGGAGGAAAAAGTTTTCTCACTATTTCCTTCTCTCTTTGTCCTGATCAGAGTGCAGGTTATGGCACCATAGCTATTACACCCGTGCCCTGCTCTCTCTCTTGACTGTTCTTGGCCCTTTACTGTATTAATTTTAGAATAGGAATTTTCAATATATGATTTTGTCAAGATATATGCAAACATGTTGGGGCTTTTAATTTAAATTGTGCTGAATTTATGGATTGACTATATGTTTTAGAAGATTATTTAAGCCTTATCTAATATACCGTATGCTAAAGTGGGCTCCAGATGGGTCTAATAATTCAGCTACCTTGTATAAAACTAAAGAAAAACAACCAACCTTCCATCATTAAAAACAAAAGACAAACACAAACAACCAAGAGAGAAAAATATGTATCCAAGTTTTGAAGAAGACAAGAATCTCTAACTGAAAGTTCTGGAAAACAATCTCCCAGGACAGATTTATGGATCTGATCACCCAAATTTGATAACATCTATATGTTAAAAAGAAAACACACATTAAAAATCCTAAAGTAGAAAGTGTTTTCAGCAATATGGCAAGATTCATCTTTCCTATAAAAATGAGTTCTTGCAAATTGAAAAGGAAGCAGATAAAGACCACAGTTATAAATTATACTATATTTGGTTAACAAACAAAAAATGTTTGGTCTCACTGATAATAAAAAACCAGTAAGTGAGCATACTGTGTGTTCATCCATTGAGACAGTATCGCTGGTGTGGATCCTTCATGCGGAGTCCACACGTCGCTGTTGCAAGTCTCAGTTTTCAACTTTTAAGGAAAAATTTGCTAATAAATATTAAATACATTAATTTTTTCATATTTTCTGATCCAGTCATTCTACTTTAGCAAATCAATACCAGAGTGTTCATCAGAAATATGCAAAATACTCTACACAAAAAAGACATTCCTTGCGAGTTCTTTTTTAAAGTGAAATGTAAGGAGCATCTAAATATCCAGCTGTAGAGTTAAGTAACTGGTAGTGAATACATATATATTCTTAGCTATTCACAATGATGTGGATGAAGAATTGCTAATGCTCATGTTGTAAAGTTAAGTGCCTTGCAAGCCCTCTGAACAACAGAAAACTATGAATAAATTGGCTTTATAATTAAGGCAAACCTCTTGACAAAATAAAATATCAGTGCTAATTTTCTCACAGTTGGTGTATTTATCTTCTCTTGGTGTCAGTGTTAGTTACTTCTGAGTTATTGCTGCCCTAGAATATTGTGTAACTGGGTGTTTAATTGGCTTTACCACCACCAAAGACATAGATACTGCCGGAAATACCATTGCCACTTCCATATAAAGAAATAGAAACTCTCACCATTTTTAAACCTAATCTAAATTTTACATAAGCACACAGATGTTTGTCACCATTGCCCCACCACAGTCAGAACATCCTATTGATTCGGTAGTACTTTGCTACATTTTTTATTTCAGCTCATCCTGGTGCCCTAAAGGTGGTGCTAGTATCCTCTGCATCAGAATCTTCTGCTCAGTCTCCTCGTACTTCAGAAATTTCAATCCCTGCTGATCTGGATAAAACGATAACAGAACTAGCCGACTGGTTGGTATTGATCGACCAGATGCTGAAGTCCAACATTGTCACTGTCGGGGATGTGGAAGAGATCAATAAGACGGTTTCCAGAATGAAAGTAGGTGCACAGGGTACAGGCTTGTCATGGAAACACCTCAGCACACGGGTAGACACGATCTGTTTGGCTCCCTTTTGTTTGTCCTGAACTCTGGGAGAGTGAGCTTTAAGAACTTCTTTATCTGCCAAACAGCCATCCCAGGCTAGCTCTGAAGAGTCTAGATTTTCTTGCATTTATGCTGTTTTGGTAAGATCACCTTTACCAACTTGAGTTGTAGACTCAGTGTATCTTTTAACATCTGAAACGGAGATTGTAAATCTAGTCCCATCAGTACAAATATAAACTAGCATTACAGTTAATGTCTAGTGTGATGTAGTATAATTTCCTGAAGTGCCTTTTCAACTTATGCTTTATAATGAGCTTATTTGTTTAATTGCTGACATTAGCAGTGAGAATGCCTGACCATAATTTTATATATATACACAAACACACCATGTCACGCCAATTTGTAAAGTTCTTTTTCCATATTCAGTGTGTGCTAGATTCTGGGCTTGTGTGCTGTATAGAGATACGGAAAAGAATATACTAAATACAAATTGGGAATGAACCACTAAATAACAGTGATTGCTAACTGTTATCAAGTACTTACTGTGTGTTGGACACTTTTGTAAGTAATTTCCATGTTTACTTCCTTAACTATCTATTGAAATAGTTACCAAATTTATCCCAGATTACAAATATGCCCCGACTATGATGGAGGCACTGAATGTGTACGAGTGAACAGTCTCTATGCAGAGCAGCGTGTAATAACAGGCACAGGCAGGTACATGTGACATGATAGGGGAGCCCGGGTGAAGAAGAGAGTTACTGCCACAGTGACGGAAGGCAGACCATGTGGGGTTTTCTCATCTAGAGACAAGTAAATGGCATTCCTGGTCTGGGGAGCAGAGGGAACAAAGACATGAGGTGGGGGAGCATGAAGGGTGAGGGACATGGGGTCAACATTTGTGCAGAGAAGAAATGCAGTAGGAAGTGAGATAGCAAGGACAGCTCGAGTTCACTTTGACGGAGCTTGCAGGCCACGCAGAACCCTTTTCATCTGTAAGCAATGGGCACGTGTTTTTATTCCTTTTTCTCTTTTAAAATTGTGCCTGGAGACTGATGATAACAATGATCTATTTTAGCAGGAAGAATGGGAATAGTGCAAGAGATGCTTAATACAAAAAAAAAAAAAGAGCCTTTCTGGGCTGCTGAGACCAAGCTGTCACAATTAGCAGAGCTTCAGAATAGCAGAAGTGAAATGTAGATGAGGGTTTGATTGATTCAGTTTTGAGTATGTTGTGTTGAGAGGTTCTTATGCCATTTAGAACGAAATGATCAGCATTCATTGAAATGTCTCTCTGGACTCAGGATTGGAAGTTGTGAATAATCCATTTAGGAATAACATTTGACACTGTAGGAGTAATTGGAGTCTGCAAAATTAGCGAATTCCTTAAGAGGAAGAGCTGGGAGAGAATCTTTACCATACCATTTGTACCTATTGGAAATAGTCTTTATGGCTATTAGTTCTATATTTAAAACACACCATTTTCTGACATTAACTTTTCTCCCATTGTTATCAGTACTAAGAGATAACTGTAGAGCAACAGTTTTTTGTGTCTAAAATTATTTAATTTACAATTACTCCAAATAGCATTTTTCTAATACCTCACTGACATCCCTGTAGGTGACATTAGTTTGTGTTCATACCTGATGTAGGCCTGATATGCAAGGTATCATCTGCAGAAATCACTGCTAATGTTTTCAGAACAGTTTTTAGTTTTTAAAGGGACTTCTTACATTTAATCTCCTCAGACCTGATATAGCTGAGCTGTCAGTATTTTATTTCTTTTTGTGAAAACAAAAACAGAGAGATGAAGTGCCTGGTTACCTAGATGGTAAGTGGCAGAGCTGAGATTTGAACCTAGGACTTACTGTGCCACATCTCTGGTGCCTCACTGTCCTGTATAGGAGACAAACAACTTTGATGTCAGTACACCAGTTTTGCTCCTTAGTGTTCTTGGCGAATAGACTGTTAGCCTATCTTAAAAATCATTTCTTCTTAAACAGATCACAAAGGCGGACTTGGAACAGCGCCACCCTCAGCTTGATTATGTTTTTACACTGGCTCAGAATTTGAAAAATAAAGCTTCCAGTTTAGATGTGAGAACAGCAATAACAGAAAAATGTAAGTCCAAAAAAATTATATGTCATCATCTACTTTCACTGAAAATGATTACACACATATACACCTTTTCAAAGATTATTCAATGAGAAATTAATATTATTTGATATTTGATACTCTTTATCTATTAATAAATACAGTTTTCCCTTGTGTTTTTTTTATCTTTTGTGAACAATCAGAATTCCCTTTTGAATTCCTCAAAGTATTACTATTATTATGTTTAAGTAGTTACTGATTCATTGGATTATTTTCTGTTAATATTTCTTTTGAAGGAACCAAGAAAACAAAAATTAGAGAAACCCACAGGAATGCGAACCCATTCTTTCATTGTAATTCATTCACTAAAACTAAATCTTAGCATGTCTTTTAACTCATGTTCTCAAAATTCAGTCTAAAAATATTTATTGAGCAACTACTCTGTACCTCTGTAGCTGGCAGTAATTTGGGAACACCTTAGCTAAAGACAAAATAAAGCAAAATAAAAAAAATAAGCAAACAAAACAACCACAGCCACGATTTTTGTTTCGTGTTTAATATCTGGCTTAAAAGCATCTGTATGTCATATCAAACAAGTCTGAATTCTCAAGAATGGGAAGACAAAAACAATCTAATAATAAAAGGAGGGAGAAAGAAGTAAAATGGCGAATTCAGGAAAAATAACCCCACTTGGTGAGACACTAAAAGTGCTCTGCTAACTCATCTGTTATAATAAACCTTGTTGCCACATTTATTTTGAAATCAAAACATACGTTAGGGACGGTCATAGTCTGCTTTTATCACCCTCTTCCACTACAGCCCTCGGCCCCATCTGTAGCTGTTTTGTACTGTATATGTTCTTTAAAACTTCTGGACAGTTCTTATTCTCCTTACCTTTATTCGCATATTTTTTTCCTCAGCCTTTTCTCCCCAGGTGAAATTCTACTCAGCTAATAAAATGTCACCCACTCTGTAAAGTCTTTCCCACCCTGTTCTGGTCCCTGGTGTTTTCTATCTTTAGTTCCTATCTTTAGATCTTTGCCCCCATAACTTCATTGTGAATCTCACAGTTACTGAAATTTCTCTCCTCCACAGATTGTGAATAGTCACCTTTCTGGGGCCTCCCACTGTGCTCCATACAAGTGATGGACTTAATTTGTGACAGAATATAAACTGGAATGTATTTTATCACCTTGTTTACTATTTCTCGAGGGGAGAAATTCGACTATTTCTCCTATAAAAAAGGCGCTTTGATTTCAAAATAAATGTGTGGCAGCAAGGTTGTTGCAAGAGATGAGTTAGCAAAGAGCTTTTACTGTCTCAAAGTGTTGCTTTATTTTTACTGATTCAGCCATTTTTCCTTCCTTTTCTGAATTGATGGATTGCTATGCCTGTGGAGATCCGGAGGGACCCCATTTCCCATCGCTGGCAGGGGAGCTCCTCTGGTTTAATGACACCAAACTCTTTGCAAATCCATCTCCATTTTGCCTTTTCTACCATCTTACGTTTATTTTTTTTTCTTTTCCCCACCACCTCTGTATTTGTCCAAAGTTTCTTTCCTTCTCCCAATTATCTTCCCTTTCCAATTTAACTCTCTCTCTCTCTCTGTTTTCTCTCCATTTTCTTATGTAGAGACTGCATAGTCTTTATCACTATTTATTATATGAGAAGCCATCCTCAGCTTCTACTACAAAAAGTAACCTGCTTTTTGCTCTTATTCACAAATAATAGGATCATTTGCTTATTTTTATGATAAACCGGTGATATTTGAAGTCGCTTGATGTCTTTAGTTTTATTTGTTCAATATTTCAGGATTCTGTTTGTAGTAGAATTGGTCAAAACTATTGTATGTAATTCTTTAACTGACAAGTAGAACATTATGATAGATTTGTCTTCTCCTTAAGTTACAATCTTAAGATATTTATTTAAGCTTTTATTCAGACAGTATAAAACAAATCATCTCATTGACACAATTTTTTAGAATTAATACATGTAAGTGTAATTTGTAGGTTTCTGAACAATATTGGATTGATAGCTTTAATGTTTTATTATAGCCTGTATTATCCCAAGAATTTTACCAGAAGAAATGTTATATTGTAATTAAGTTCTTCTTGGCCTGGTACTTAATTATAGCCCTTCAGTCTGTCTGACATTCAAAATAACTTCTAGAAGTTTGTTTTTAACTTTCTACCTATTATCAATGGGTTGTTGAAGATATTGAAAGCTATTGCTTACTGGTACTTCAGTTTAAGATCATGAACTGCCCTCGAAGTCATTAATCAGAAGTTTGTTTCCTTAGATCTTTCTTTTTTTTTTCAAAATATATTTTTATTGATTTACAGAGAGGAAGGGAGAGGGATAGAGAGTGAGAAACACCGATGAGAGAGAAACGTCGATCAGCTGCCTCCTGCACACTCCCCACTGGGGATGTGCCCGCAACCAAGGTACATGCCCTTGACCGGAATTGAACCTGGGATCCTTGAGTCCGCAGGCCGACGCTCTATCCACTGAGCCAAACCGGTCAGGGCTCCTTAGATCTTTCTTAACTTCATCTTAAAAATGAGAAGAGGAAAGAAGGGAGGGAAGGAGAGAAAGAGACTGAGAATGAAAGAAAGAGAAAGAGAAAGAGAAAGAAACAATAAAAAAGAGCAGACAAGAGCCAATATTTGTGGGCTGTTGTTTGTTGTTGTTTTGTTTTTATGATAAAGGGCTGCTGGGTACACAGAACTTGAATTTACTTTACTTTTAGTGTTTCTCTTGAACTTCAACATAGAAAAATACTTCCTTTTAGAGAGGTTTAATGCTACAGTGAAACAAATGTGAAAGTATTCTTAAGGAGTTTTCTTTTCAAATCAAGACTACCTTAGAGCATCTCCTTTGAGGATGACAAGTGACTATGTCTGTGTCTTAAAGTTCTGTCATAAAGTGCTATTAATACCTTTCTAAACCAGGTCCTGTAAATATAAAACAAGATAGAAAATTATTTTTCTTAGAATTTTTTGCTTTATCAGTTCACAGTAGTAGATATTTTTTATTGTGAGGTATTTTAGTGCATTTAAAATATATATTAACCAAAGAACTTGTATGACTTGTATGCATATATGCATAACCCATGGCCACAGGCAATAGTGTGGTGAGGCCTGGGATGGGGCAGGAGCCTGGTGAAGAGGGGTCATGGGGGAAAATGGGGGACATCTTTAATACTCTCAACAATAAAGATAAATTAAAATATATAAAAAACTGCTCATATATCAAAAAAAGAAAAGAAATAAAAGTGAGGCCAGCAGTTGGAACAGTAAAAAAATAAAATTTAATAGAGTTTCCTCAAAAATGGTTTCTGAAACATATCAATTGTATAGTATGACAGACTGACATTTCTTTAAAATGTGTGTCGACTTGCCTCTTTTCTCTTTTCTATTGATAGCTTCGTTTGTAATAAATTTGGTATCAGATACTTTTCCCCTTTCCTGAGAGTCACTTTCAGGAATTCTTTTTTTTGTAATGCTTCCTGTAGTGGAGAAGGTCAGGAACCAGTGGGATAGCACTCAGCATGGTGTAGAGTTGCGGCAGCAACAGCTGGAGGACATGGTGATTGACAGCCTACAGTGGGATGACCACAGAGAAGAGACTGAAGAACTTATGAGAAAATATGAGGCTCGACTCTATATTCTTCAACAAGCCCGAAGGGATCCACTTATCAAACAAATTTCTGATAATCAAGTAAGACTCATTAGATATCTTTTGGCGATATTGATTTGTTGGTTGTGTGTGTTTTTTTGGTTCTGTAATTTTAAGGATTCTTGTCATGATGTTTCCCCAAGTTCTTAGAATACACATTGAAATTAATATAAAGCATTTGACCAGGAAGGATTCTGAAAAATTCCTGGAGGCATAACAAATGGAAATGTACATATATCTTAGGTTTACAGCTCACTGACTCCTTGCAAATGGAACACACCCACAAACTGGCCACTAGAAAGGGAACATTTTCAGGATCCCAAGAACCTTATTTTGTTCCTTTCATGTCTATCCTGAAGGTTATTTCTATTTGGGAAATTTCTTGAAACTTTCATTTGAGGGCTACTGTAGGGAACAAATCAGGTAATAAGTAAGTTTAGTTTCTTTTAATACCTTTATAACAAACTGATTTATCAATGTCATCAGAGCAGGTAGCTTCTGTGATCAGTTTGGCTAATAGAGTTGATGATATTGAACATATATGGCACTATTTAAATTTTCTCTGCAATCATAGAAAATACTCTTGAATTAGAGGTTATGGTTGTCAGTTTATATTTTAGTGTAACATTTATTTGCCCTTCAGATAGCCTAAGATAAAAGTGTACATTTGTGAAGAATATAATAATGGATATGTAGGAATCTAAATCTAAATCATGAAAGTATATTTTCAGTCTTCATATGTATGGACTTTCTGTGGTTACAATATAAAAAACAAGTGGCCAGGTGTCCTGATTTCCTGGATCATTCCCTGTGTTTATGATATCTGCTAATTGTTTTCACCAAATGAATCAAAAGTAATATCAGCATAGCCCCTGAAACTTCACTAAAGGAATACAATTCAAAGTTGTATCAGTGCTTCAATCATCATATGTAGAATATTCTTTTATAATTAGCAGTATGGTCATTTCTTTCTGAAACTTTAGGGTTGACTTTTCTGTCAATAGCTACAAAAAACTATAGGAACTTTCATTTGTCCTTTAGATTTCATGAGGAGTATCTTGATCCAGGGACTCTCAGAGACTGAAAAACTATGTTAAGGAATTGATATGCCAATGGACATAGCCTTGGTGTAGCTATTCAAGCAACTCCCAGTGAACCTTGCATGGCTGCTTGATCCATTCAAGCAGTTACCTATAAACATACACAGTGATCGAGGGGCAGGAGATAGAAGACTTCCGTATTGTTGGCCCTTTCCATTGCTCTAAGTACATATAAGGGAACTCTATAGTCAATTCATTCCTAATCAGTGCATGTTCCTGTAAGGATCACATGTATAGCAGAAGGAATGAAAAAGACATTGTTTTTAGGAAATAAAATATCTAAAAGAGGAAGAGGTAATCATTTGTTTAATGTCATCTGCTATGTACCTGATCACTTTCTTAGTCATTTTTCTTTTCACATCTGTAATTATTTTGGTTTAAACTTACATGCAAGAGTTTGTTCAATAATTTGTTTTCTCCTTTTGATATCTGTGTCTAAAACATGTTAAAACCTACTGGGAGGACCAATGTTTTGGCAATACTGGTTACTGAGTGACCAAGTCTAACAATGGCGCCTGAAATTGCACCTTAGATACTGCTTCAAGAACTGGGTCCTGGCGACGGGATCGTGATGGCGTTCGATAACATCCTGCAGAAGCTGCTGGGAAAATATGGTAGCGATGACACGAGGAACGTGAAAGAAACCACCGAGTATCTGAAAGCATCATGGATCAATCTCAAACAAAGGTAAACGCTGAGGCCCTGGCAGGTAACGGTGTCTTGTCAGGTTGAGAATTTGATGGCTTTGGCTTTCTCATGGAAAAATGCCAAAATGTGTGACTACTAGAAGTACATTTTATTGTGATTAAAAAATTTTTTATGCTATTCTGAGTGTTATCATACAGAATGTATATTTATACAATATCTACTTGACTTACTACATGGAGATTTTCCTTAAATAAGTCTAAACCTTGCCAGTGATTATTTATGTGTTCTGATTTTTTTTTTTGGTCTGTTTGGTGTTACCTAGAGTAAATCTTGTAGCTCCGTGATGCTAAGGAATACTCAGGTACGCACAGCTGCATTAGGGTGATAGTAATCCTAATGGTCATTAAAATAGTGGGCTGTTTGGCCGGATTGCCTCAGTTGAGGCTGAGAACACATGGATCCAACTTTAGACTCCTGAACTATTCTGTGTGTATTCAGGGCTTAACTAATACATATACACATATATATATTTTATTACTCTGTCTAGTCAGTATGTATGGAACAGTCTAAAATAGATGTGGTGTATAAGAGAGATTTTTCTGTCACTTGAAGACCTAGGATTTGAGGACCTGTAAACAGTGGTTAGCATCTGTTTAAGATGGCATATTTATATTCACCATCAGTCAAGATGTGTTTACCTCCAGCATTCTGCAGGGAGCACCTTGCCTAAGGGAATTTGGTTTCACACACATCTTTACATATGCAAATGCAGCTGCCTGAAAGCTATCAAAGATATCATAACACATTTGTTTTTCTCTGAATAAAATGGATAATATTAGAACACTTTTTGATATGTATTACTGGTAATAAAGTATGGTCAAGCATTTAATAACAGTTTAACATGAAGATGTTTTATACAATTTTAGAATGCCATTTTTAGTTATAATTTCTAAAGTGGAGTTTGGGAAAACTCAAAATTAAGAGGGTGGTATATGAGCATGAAAAACCTAGGATTCTGGAGGAAATAAGACTGGGGTTGCAAATACAAAAATTCATAAGTGGTTAAAGCAGAAAATAGCTATAATATTGATCTTTCTAGCGTTTTATACAACTGTTTTCTTTTGTTGTAACAAGGTATTTGGGTGTAGAAAGGATTCGAATCCAAGGCTGGGAAGAAGGTGAATTAAAAACAAATTTAAGATACAAATTTACAGTTATAAAACGAATGTAATGTGCATCATGGTGACTATAGTTAACAATACTGTATTGTATATTTGAAAGTTGCTGTGAAAGGGTAGATCTTAAAAGTTCCCATCACAAGAAAAATTGTAACTGTGGTGATCGATGCTAATCACACTACAATATATACATAACTCAAATCATTATGTTGTATACCTAAAACTAATACAAGGTTGTATGTCAATCATGTTTGTTTTAAAAAGACAGCTGTAACACTAAGAGAGTCCTTAATCATACTTTATCTGTTTCCCAAAATTCACATATAAGTTGTGACTTTGTTTTTGTTGTAAAAAATGCCCCAAAACTTGATCACGTAGAAATGTGTGGCCTGCTTTATTTAGCACCCCCAATTCTTTATTTTTGCTTTTACTTTGTAAATATTTTATGACAGACTCCAGCAGTAGTTAGATTAGATGGAAGAGGCAATTAAAAATGAATTATATTCCAAGGTGATCTTTCATTTATCATAGTAAAGACAGCCACAGTGTTCCAACTTCATGGTGGTTACAAATAGTTGTCCTTATTCTAGTTTATTTCCCCATTTTGAGGGGAAAAAACTAAGTATATTCATATCTAGACATGATTTGGGTAAACTGTCATCTATAAAGTAGGGAAAATCCAACACAACTGTGGCTCACAGGGTCCCTTCCTGAGTGACAGCTAGGGTTTCTTTGATTTGAGAGGATTTTCTCTTTTAAATACAGTGACATTTACAATTTTTAACTGTTTTAATCGGAGAGCTTTCTAAAATATGCAAATCTGTCCTAACCTTCTTATACAAAGTGTGTGAACTTATAGTAAACATTTTTTGAATTCTTGGCATTGTTGTTGTAAAGATAGGATTAAGGACAGTTAAGAGCTACATGTAAACTTACGGTTCATTTAAACCAGTATTTCTCAACCTTTTAAAAATTATTATTAACCCCCTAAGAAGCCTTTTAAGGTATCTTCCCTCATGAAATTTTAATACCATGGTTATACTGTGTGTCTGTTTTTGTACTTTATAGTTATGCTTTATACATAAAAACAGTCATTTCTCCCCCCCACTGCTGTCCTCCACCTTACCCTGCCAAAGAACCCCTTACCACCTCCCTTAAGAATGCATGGTCTAATCGGGTGCTACAAGGCTCCGAGAAGTTTCAATGGCATGTTTAAGGTTTCGTAGCATAGCTAAGATGAGATTTCTCTATACGAAATTATGATCACTTTAGAGTTCTGAAGAATTGGTAGTAAGTTTATTCAGGCTGCTATGCTTTGTGAGTTTTGTGCTTTATTTTTACTGTGTAAATTGTATTGAGTATCTTCTCATTGTCAGGCACTGTGCTAAACTCTTCACAGGCATTATTTCATTAATCCTCACAACAGCCACAGGAGACAGGCAGCGTTTTCCTCAACACTATGTCGCTGATGGAACTGGAGCAGAGAGAAGTTAAGGAATGCCCAAGGTCACCCAGCTCATACAGGCAGAGCTGAGATTTGAATCCAAGACTTTTTGTCTAGGTAGCAAGGCTCTTACCTTCTTTACCTTTCTTCTTTGCTGTCAGAATGCCAGCTATTGCTGGTGACTGCTCCGTGTATTCACCTCTTGGATCTGTCTGTGATTCCACTTACTGGTTCTTACCTGAGTTGAGTTTAGAAGCCAGATCTGATTAAATATATGGGGCTTCTGCTAAGAATAATGTAACACTCCCTAGTATGTGGTCATTGTAATGGCTGCTGGGAGGCCTTGCACCATGGCTCACCTCCTGCCTCCCAGCTGTATTCTTTTGTTGTTTGTTTTATAAATACTAAAATATATTTTATTGTTGACAGTATTACAGATGTCCCCCGTTTTCCCCTCCTTTGCCCCCCTCCACCCAACTCCTACCACCCCCCAGGCCCTCACCACACTATTGCCTGTGTCCATGGGCTATGTATACACATACGTATTTAAGTTCTTCGGCTAATTTCTTCCCACCCCCTACCCACCCCTCTGAGATATGTCAGTTTGTTCCATGCTTCCATGCCTCTGGACCTATTTTGTTGGTCAGTATATTTTGTTCATTATATTCCACCTCAATTCTGAACATATACCATTGGCAGCCAAGTGTTGGAGGGGTGAAGGTTATTATACTTGCCAATGGAATATTGTGATTGTGGGATAATCTGTGAAGTTTAATATCAGCTTTCAAAGGAAATGTTTTCTGTGACTTGCAGTTGGCTTAAGTAACTTGGCCACTCACAGTTGCAGGTCCATAGTCCCTTATCTGCAGTGCCAAAATCCAATATGCTGAGATATCAGAAAGCTTTGGCTTGACATGAAACCATTTATTATAGTCTTTATTTATCCTTCTTGGTGTGAATAGCCTTGTTCCTAAGTGCAGACATATTAATGTGTTTGTCGCTTCACATCCTACTTAGAGGTAATAAGTCATATAGATACATTCATAATAGATTTCTAATGTACAAAAAAGTTTAAATTCTGAAACACAACTAGCTCCCGATATTTTGGATTCTATATACAATAGGTCTGTCTCTAACATTTTAAACTAATTGATGTTTCTTGGCCGCTACTGTTAACCTGTGATATTTTTTCTTTTACATCTCTTAATGCCAGTTAACAATTTTTTTTTAGTACTAAGTTAACAATAGATAAAATATCTTCATAGTAACTTTTGGAGTGTAGGTGTCTGATTTGGGTCTGAAAAGTTATTTTAACCCTAGTGCCTGTGTGTGTGTGTGTGTGTGTGTGTGTGTGTGTATGTGCACGCACAATTGTAGTACTATAGGCATACGTGTGTATACACACACATACTTTCATATATACATATACACACATGTAGTGATTGGTGATGAAATATTGTAAAGGAAATGAGGTAATATAACTTTATGTTTTAAAGATTATCTTATAGATAATTAATTGCTATGCATTTTTCTCTTTGCCCTTACCCTCCAGAAGCCATATTTTGCCTTGCCTCTTTAAGGCAATCCTCAGTTTGTACAGGCAGAACGGAAGGTAAACTCACTATGGTACTGGACATTCTTGATTAAATCCCAGTATATTCATTTGCCATCTGTGTGACTTACCACCCTTGAGCACATTATTTTAAATGATTGAGACACTTTCTTTGGTTCTAAAGTGGAAATCATATCTAAGTGTATGATTATTATGAGGACAAAAATTATATGTAAACATTTCTTGTACATGATATATGCTCAACAGAAGGTTAGCCAGATTATCATCATGTGCTCTGTCTTTTTAAATGTTTTTTAAAAACATGTTTTTATTGATTTTAGAGAGAGAGGAAGGGGAGGGATAGAAAGACAGAAACATCGATTGGCTGCCTCCCGCATGCCCCTACTTAGGATCGAGCCTGCAACCCAGGCATGTGCCTTGATTGGGAATTGAACTGGTGACCTCCTGGTTCATGGGTCGACGCTCACCCACTGAGCTACACCAGTCGGGCATGTGCTCTATCTTTTGATGTCTTTCTTAGAAACCCACTGCCCTTAGTCTGTTTTGTGATACTGGTGAGAATAGCAGAAGGTTGAGTCACTGTCAGTCATTTGTCTATAGTCATTTTGAACAGTTTCTATGTACGTTAATTATAAACTAGTTGATTATCTGATTTATTGAATGCAGTATAGATACTCTAAATATTTCTTACTAGATGAAACTATGAGAATATGTAACTTTCTTGGTTAGTGTCTTAGTTCGTTCAGGCTGCTGTAACAAAATACCACATGATTTGGGTAAACTGTTATCTATAAAACAGGGAAAATCCAACAAAACTGTGGCTCACAGGGTCCCTTCACGGGTG